ATTTCGGAAAAGCAGTAGACGAAGCAGGGAAGTAAGCAGTAGAGAATGCAGCCTAAAACCAGAACGGGGAAATGGAAAAACTTTGAAGGAAATTTTGAAAACGTGTTGGAAAAATATCAGAAAAAGTACAAGCTTATTTTAAGCACCTTCGCGCCTTATCTTTAAGAACGTAAATAAATCGATGCAAAATGAGAAAAAAACGTAAACAAAACAAAGCGATAACAAAACACAAACTTAAATTAAAATAAATTTAATACGAAAACATTGTACATTTAGAAAATACGGGCAAAATTGAGAAAAGTTTCGATACATCTCCAGGTAGTTAACCTTATCTAAGCTTAAGTTGGATTCGATCCGATCAAGTTCGGGATACTCGGATACTGCAGAAAGCACTCTTTAGTTTACCCTCAGTTCGGGTTTTGTGAAAAATCAGTCTTAAATTGTAGACACAAGCAAAGAAAGGATAATATGAAACAGCAGTAGAAGTAAAAGCTTAACAAATGAACATGACTAGTCGACAACTAAGGCAGTTCCGCGAAACTGATCCTTAAAATCAGTTCCGTGGTCCTTGCTGACAATTGAAACCGAATAAGCAACAGACAAAATTCAAAAACATTGCAGCAGCACATTTCAAAATTAAAAGAAAATCGAAAAAAAAAAAGTAAACAAAATTAACAAAATTCATAACTGCGGTTCGGAGCATATACAAAAAAGATTGTATGAAAGGTATGTTAAAAATAAAAATCCAAAAAGCTAAAACGAAGATTGAAAGAAAACGTAAACTTTATGTTTCCCAAAAACTCTGTAAATGTTTAGATGTATAAAAGAAAACCAGTCGAGGACTCTACTTAAGTTAGGTTTTGATGGGGCTAAGATCGACTTCAAATTAAGATGTGTATGTAAAAAACAAAAACAAAAAACTAAAATGACTACTATGAAGGTAACGCTATGAATCCTAACCCATTTGCCCAAGGTTTAGTTTTAAAATTTGATATGTATCTATACCTTCTCCACTGTCCACCAGCTAACATGGTAAACCCATTTTATTATTTTTGAGATTTGCTAACGATAGACCTTGAAATTGTCGTTGATTCCTTTAAAAATACCCATTGCGATTTGGTGGACCCGGCCAAGACGTTGGCAGTTCTCAAGCCTCGAAAATAAAACTAAACTGTCCGGTCCAGCGGCCTGGAAATCGGCCCTTTGGCTGGCCGGGCAACTCCAGGACATCCAGAACCGTTTCGCACCATAGACCTCAAGGCAATACAAACAACCAGCGGCGAGAGAGAAGCAAAAAGAAAGCAGAAGACAAGGCAAAGGACAAGTTTCGAACCAAGGATTTCGGTAACATTTCGAACGTAACTTTCGGCAGAGTTTCGAACAACTTTGGATTAGGCTTTTGTTGTTAATTTGTTTTTTTGCGACCACGTCTCCATAGTACTCGAGCAACATGCAATATGCAACAGCAACATGCAACACACAACACAAGCAGAAAGCAGCAAGCGGCAACGTGATACACGAGTTGAGCAAGTGAAAAGCAATTTTTGAAATGGGGCCACAACGTCCGATCTAAAGTGCCTTCAAGTAACAATGAAAACAAAAGAAAACAAAATGGAAAAAAATACCAAAAATAAAAACTGTTAATTTTTTATGTAACTAAAGCAAACGAGGATGAAGAAATTATAAATAAAAATTGTATAAAGAAATTAAACGTGTAAAAAGTATAAACAAATTTAAACAAAAACTAAGCGATAACGATGGTGAACGCGAAAAAGCGGAAACGTGAACGTAAACGAAGAGAAGGGCTCCAAATAGACCGGAAAGCAATCAAAAACCAAAACTGCTTCCAACTTTGGCCTGGTCCCGCTGTCCCTCCAAAGGAATCAACCGTTTTGGATTAACCAAGCAACGGAAAATCGATCGCAAATCTCAAAAGCAAAAGATAACCTATCCAAATCCCCAGTTTCGTATCCTTCCCTAGCAAAAAGTTGTAATTGACTACCTAAGTAAGCGAAAAAAAATATGTATGTATTTAGTTTTAGTATGTAAACGAATGGAAATTCATATAAAACTCAATTTAGACGAACATTATGTATGGGAAAATTATTGATTTAGACTAGCGAAGACAGCTGCAATGGTTTGGATATAGACACCACGAGTATACCCCTTATACCCCATACATACATACGCCTATAGCGCTGAGTTGCTCATCTATCAATGTACTTTAAAACACAAAAGACACAACCCAAACACACACACTGACACTTGCATAAACTATGCTACATTTAATTTAGATTTAGAAAGCGAATAACTAAGTATCCAACTCAAAGTTAAGCGGAAACGGATAAGAGATGAACTAGGAACGGCATACTGATGAGGTGGCAATTAGGTATAGAGCGAACTATATTTAAGGACTCGGAACTAGCGACACTAAAATGAAAGAAAAAAAAAAGGGCGAGTGCACAGCGACACAGGATCGCAGATCGCAGAATAAACTATAAGACTTTCCAGAAACGAATGGGGGAAACCTACCGTTTTCCACTTTTGTGCTTCTTCCTACCCCTAACACACTGCAAAAACATAAACACACACAAGAGATCTTAAGTTGGCAGCATCGTAATCGTTTCTTTAGTCGACGATGGGAAAGAACTAGCAAAAATTAGCAAAATTTAAAATTGATTATGTATCACACAAACACAGACACAGATCACACCTCTCACCAAAACACAGAGACACACCATGTATATAAGTATGTATATTCCTTTGAGCTGAACATTGTATAACCGAACGATTACGATTCCACACACACCCACACACACAAACTAAAACCGAAATGAAAAAAAAAAAACAAGAACACACCGAGGTGTGTAAAAGGGTTCTTTGCTTACAACTTTTCAAACGTATTAAACCATTTCGGCCAACCTTTAGGATTGACAAAAGATCGACTTGAGGAACACAGCCCCGCCCACTCGCCTCCGGAAATAAGTGAGCTGTGGGCGGGAGAATGCATCGTTTCGGTTGATAGATGCAAACGATCGAAATTTATTGGGCCTCAGGGCCAAGTGAAACCAAATCAAGCCATGAAATTGATTTATGTTCAATTAAGCAAACAAAAACAAAATGCAAAAATTGTGAAAAATATAGAAAAATGAATACTTTCAGTTACAATACAACAATAGACCGGAATGATTTCCAAGCAATAGTACAAACAACTTTAGAGATAACTTTTATAATGTAATTGTAAACTAAGTGGTAGAAGGAGAGCTCCGGGAAAAGCGAACAAAAAAGGAGGGGACAAATGCCAAAAATATAAACCAGTAATCCTCGAAAACCCGGAGCAAAAAAAGAATTTGAAGAGATAAAAAAACGCGAATGCATATACGATTTAACCTAATTTTTACTCAGTTAAAATGTTAACACATTTATTTGAAATTTGATTAGTGCGAAGTAAGCGAAATTGAAGGCCAACAGAAGCCGATGACATTTTCGAAATTCCAACTTGACATACAAGCATGTAATGCCGCAGGGGCTTCCCTTCCATTAGAAGCTGGAGGGCAAGATTGAATCAAGTCACTTCACACACAGTTTAAATTAATAAGAATATGTACTAACAATAGGAAACGTCACCCAATTTCCCAATTTTCCCGAATTCCCGAATTAACAACACCCCAAAATGTCCCAAATTTTTCCCAAAAACTCACACATTACTATTTACCACAATATGAAACGAAAGCAAAGAAAAGAAAAGAAAAACCAAAAGTAATGCAAAAGTAAAATCAAGCAAAACAAACAAATATGAATGTAATACGCGGTGGCAACATACAAAGTTGGGAAACGAGAAAATTTCACAATCTACTATGTCGCGTATACACTTACGATAGTACGATATACTAACTTTATATGATTAACTAACTCATTTCGAATGAACCATAGCGATATATGTATAAGCCACGTTTTGGTTTCGGTTTCGATTTCGGTTCCGTTTTATACTTTGGTTTGGTGTACACTTTTGGAAACTTCGGAAACGCATTTCAGGCCAATAAATTAGAAAAGAAAATCTTTTTGGACCAGTTTTGTTCCCGCAAAATCGGAAAAATCGCACAAAATTGTACATTTAGCGCAAACCAAAAAACAAATTTCAATTAAAAGCCCCCGAAAACGGAAAATCGAAATTTGGAACTACATTTAGAGAATGCATTTAGCGCAAAGCAAAAGCAAACGACACCACACCACACAACACCATCACACTACAAAATGAAATGAAAATATGTATGAGGTAAATTCAGTATTTGGGATATAAGCAAATATAATTACATAAAAATTTATATTTATGCAAGCGACAAAATCGAAAGACATCATACTAAAAATGTGTAATGGAAAGGAAATTGTAAAACAAGAGGAAAACACTAAACTACAATATGACATTTTTAATCGAAAAAAAAAAAAAACAAAACTTATTTTATTGAAAAATTATGTAAAATTTACTAAGGAAAAAATACAAAAACACAATAAAACTATATTGTTTATTTTCATCTTTAAAAATAAAGTTTTAAAATCGTATAAAAATAGTAATTGTCTTGCTGATGTTGTTTCTTCTCGGAAAAGCTAATGGTAAGAAACGAAACCGAATGTAAAGATTGACTAAAAGAAGAAAACATGGATTGATCAGATATTAAATCTAAAGAAGGTTTGCCAAATTTGTTCAACGGAACCCTGTTTATATTATCCTTTTCCTAGTAACTGGCTTACAGTTCGTATACGTACGATACGTATGCGTAATTTGTGCCGAAAATTCATGTATATCGGCTTCACCCACCAGATAGCCAGTTACAGCTCCATTTTAAGCGAATACACATTAAGGAAAAGGACCCACCTAGCCAGTTACCACTCCACTCTTACCGGATAACCCTTTATCGATACAAATCCACCAAATTTATCCAGTTACACCACTCTTAGCCGATACATACACCTACTCAATTATAATATTCGGTTATCGAAAAATTACCGTCACTAGTGCATCACCAGCAACAAAAACAGCTGGTCTTACATTACGCAAAGATTTTTTCCAGTTTTGTTTATTAAAAATGTCTTTATTAGGCGCTTTTGCCAGGTGAGTGGACAGCAATAAATCCCATAATTTTGGGCTGATACATTCTGTCACAGATTAGGACTTCAGAGAAGTGGCGGAATAGCCGGTGTCGCCGTTGCACGTTCCCTTCATACGACACACGTTCTCTGCGCCGAGCCTCTTAAAAAAAAGAAGAAATTGGATCCACAGGTCGTCAAACAACGAGAGGATCGCAAGAAAAAAAAGATCGAAAAGCAGATTCGTCGGCTGGAAAAAAATGCGAGGCAGCTGAAGCCTGTGGAGGAACTGGAAGTGCCACTGGAACTCATCGATGAGAAAGAGTAGGGCTTCCATGTGTTTTCCTTAAAAACAGGTTTAAATGCATCCCCATTTTTTAGCAAACGCCAAAGGAAACTTACCCCACTGGGCAGCGCGGAGTTGGAGGAGCGTGCTCTTCTCAAGAAACAGTGGGCGCATTACAAACACGACGAGCGTGTGGCCGACTTCCAAATCATTGACCGGCTGATTCAGTCACAAAACAAGGCACTGGAGGAGCTCCGGCGAGAATCTGAAGAGCTGTACCAGGCTGCCATCGAAATTGATCCCCAATTGCTTCCCGTTTCTGTCAAAGGACCCGTTGCCACTCCACCCATTAAGAACTATGCTAGTCCCGATGGAGATTACCTGCACCAATCAATGAAGTGGGAAGTTAAGTGAAGCGTCCCTAAGTCGAAAGATTTAAAATAAACAGAACCAGTAATCAAATGACTGTTCTTTGAAATATTTGAATACGGCTGACAATAAATTAACTATACATCGATATAGACCGTCAGAAAACTGTTGAGCTACACGTTAACATAGCTGATATTTTGAGTCTCTGAAATTGAAATTATACCCTCTAGAATAGAGCCCTATATTGGAATCGACTTGATGCGTTGTGTAGCGGTTTTATTGTTATCAGTGGAGAACGAGAATAAGGCAGGTGGTAACGCCTGCCGAGCCCTTTCAGTGAACTGTCGAAATAAATAATACGCGAGAGACGTAGCAGTGACTGCTTTTAATGTTGATCTTGGGTTATGATGGGGTTATGGAGCGGCTTCTTACGAGGGGGTGGTGGCGGCATTGGTCTTGGCAGCGGCCTGCCGCTTTTTAACTCCCCAGTTATGTACCCGCGCCATGTTCACCTCAGTGGTTGTGATTTGATCCCTGAAACACAGATTTCAATAAGAAAAATCAATTCATTTGAAAAGTTTTCGTTTCAACTTACCTCAGAAAATCCTGGTCGTGCTCCACGGACTTCAGATTACCCACCGCCGATGTGACGTTCTGCTTGAGCAGAGCCTCCGCCTCATCCAATGGATATTCTAGCATAACGCTGGCACCCAGCCACAGATAGACAGTTTTCGTGGGTGGAACCAAGGTCTTGATAAACACCTGGTCGCTGAGCAGGAACTGAGTCTCGCGTTCCTCGTCCTCCTTTCGCAGCACATTTACCATCTCCAGAGAGCGCTCCAGGTCGGGGATTTGGGACTTCAGCTTACGGCGCCTCGCCTCCAGGTTAAATGCCATAAATCGGTACTTTCCGTGCTGCTCGTCCAACCGCTGGAGCACCTTCTCACAGTTCTCGTTGTCCGGCTGTGCCATGAATGAATCAATCTCCTCCTACAATCGCCACAGGAAAGTAAATTAGCATCCAGTCTCCAGCTGCAGGTGCACGCTTGTAGGTTAGGACCACTCACCAAAAAGACTGCCTCCGGAATGCCGGCGAAGGTTTTCTGGTTTTCCGGTAATTTTGGCATTTCCACCGAGTCCATAATGCCAGTCATCCTGAAGCCTTTATTCCTACCTTCTACAATTGCAATTTAATTTCCAGGAGGTCAGCCTGCCGCTGTAAAAGTCGATGGGATGGAGATGAGTCAAAATTGCGATGGCACCATCGGTAGTGATGGGTAAAAATCTTTTAATATTTAGGGTACTCCCCAGGCTTTAGACTTATGTTAAAATAAATAACTAATAAAATATAATGCTTTATTATAAGTACTTTTGTGACTTTGGCCAAAATAACAATACCAACGGCAAAAAATATAATTATTTAAATAGCAACGTCGCTTCCGATATCCTTAGCGAATATCGATACCGATTTATCCGCTGCGTCGATTAATGCGCCCGCTTGTGAAATAAGCGGAAAACACGTAAAACTAGAATAACCAAATTATGGCTACATGGAATCCAGATAACGATGAGGACCTCTTGACAGGCTCCGAGGATGAGGAGGAAGTGGCTATGAAAAAGGACTATCATGGGCGCGAGGCCATTCTCTTTGTGGTGGATGCAAACCTGCAGACGGCCGGCGTAGAGCGACTGATGGACGCACTAAACATCATTCGGACAGCCTTTATATCCGGAATCCTTGTGAATGACAAAGATCTAATCGGACTTATCTTCGCCAACACTAAGCACAGCCCCTTGCCATTAGAATCCAGCGCCTTGGACAACATCGTGATCCCTGAGAACTGCGCCGTGTTCCTGCCCCTGCGACAGTTGACTAAAGCCATTGTAGAGCACTATCTGGATTTCATGAGCGGGGCGGAGTCTCAGTTCGAAAATGTGTATGGCCTGGCAGAGCCCAATGGCAGCGGGAGATTTGACCTTATGATACGGCTCTGCATCCAGCTATTGGAGAATTGCGGCAAGAAATTGAATAACGCCAAAATCGCCTACTTGACAGATGTTAGTACACCTCATCCAGCGTCTAGCAATTACTTTCAGGCTGCTTTGCAAAAGGCCAGAGATCTGGAGGGCAAGGAGTTTGAGTTTCATGTTATTCCCATGGTAGATGACTTTGACTACGAGCCTTTCTACAAGGAGTTCATCACGCTTTCAAGAGGTAATTGTTTAAATGTCACATATGCGAAGTCTGTTCCCCTCATTGGCATTAAATTTTTGTCTAGGAGGTTTTAAGACTTTGCAGATTAAACATAAGCAATCATTCACCCGCGACCAAGTGAAGTCTATTTGGTTCGTGGTTTTGGATTGGCTTACAAGGCAAAATTATTAAAACAAGAGTAAAGTACAAAATTTATATAAAATAAGTTATCCTTACTTTGATATATTAGTTTACTACATTTTTATTTACAGCCATCGAATTGGATGCCTTTCAAGAACCGGATCCTCAAATGCTGCGAGAAATCCTGGCCGACCGCAAGCTGAAGCAGGACTTCCTTCGGCGCTGCCTTGGACACTTTAGCTTCCAACTGGGCCCCAATCTCTCCATGTCCGTACAATACTATAACTATTTTCAGCGACGCTCGTATCCGCGCAAAGTACAAATCATGCGAAAGGACAGTAGCGTGGTGCGCAGCAAGAGGGTAATTACAGTACAAAAGCGAAAGGACGACGAATCTGAGGATATTGTTCACGAGTACCAGATCAAGTCCACAGACGGTTGGTACCAATGCGACGTGGGTGGGAAGAACCTACGTATCAGCACGGATTTGTTAAACCGGGTGCGCAGCTTGCACAAGCCTAAAATGATGCTGCTGGGCTTCAAGCACCGCTCCTCACTTCCAGAAGTGACCTACAGCAAGCCGTCGAACTTCATGTATCCTGATGATCAGAGCATCATCGGATCAAAACGGCTTTTTCGAGCTTTGTGGGAGCGCTGCCTGGCGCGGGAGAAAATAGTCATTTGTCTGTTTATGTGCAAACGGAAGTCCATGCCTCGTTATGTGGCACTGGTTCCTGTGGAGGCCTCGAATTCAAGGGAGGATAAGACTTACCGTTCTCTGCTCTGCGGTGATGGATTCAAAATCGTATACTTGCCGGAGGCAAAGCATATCAGAAACATAGATATGTATGAGTGGAACGATACTGGAAATTCGGCTAGCGAAGAGGGCGTTGATTTTTTTCAGAAAATCATAAAGAAACTGCGCGTCGACTACCAGCCCAATCTTATCAATGACCCAAATCTGGACGCCCTGCAAGCAAATCTTTTGTCTTTATCCCTGGATTTTACGACGGACAGCAAAGGCATCGATAATTTGCTGGACTGTACACAACAGGACATGCGCATCGAAAAATATCTGCCCGACTACGAAAAGATTTTCGATCCAGAAATGGAGCCGGCCAAGAAACGAGCAGCCAAGTCCACCTCAACGGGAGAAAGTGCCCCAAAAATGGCCAAGATTGATGAGGAGCAAATCAAGAGCTACGAGTTTGTAAAGGACCTAATCAAAGATAAGTGCCTTACCAGGTGCACAGCTGTTCAACTTCAGACTATATTAAAACATCATTTTGACGTCACTATGCCTAAGTCCTCATCCAAGGCAAAGTTGGTAGATCAAATCGAGCAATTGATTGGTTCAACGGCATAGGGTGATGTTATTGTTTTTAGAGTATAATATATAAAGTAGATGTGTTACACATCCTAACGATAAGATTGTTAAATTGTAAGATTTTTTCATTTTTTTATTCCCTCCTGCGACCCTGTAAATTCTGAATTCTTGAAAAGGCAAAAGTAAAAAATATCCAAAAGTAGAGTTAAATAAAATATGTTATTAAATAAAAGATGACTTGGTGGGCGTATCAGTAAATATCGACCTTTAGGTATTTGATTTATGTTTAAGCCCAGTAGGTTAAAAAGAATGTTCAAATTCAAAATAATTCTTTACAAACAAAGGACTATCGATAACAGCAAAATTACAATCGCTTAAAATAATTCAGCGAATTCAGTGTTGGAGAATGCCCAAGGGCTACATGTGATAACCGCGCCGGCTTTCTTTTTGCGAATTTTGACATTGCGAATTACTTTATTGTGAAGCGCTGCCGCAGAATGTCGCTGCAATTCCAAAACGACTGCGGAGATTCCGTCAAGCAAGCAATCATCGAGGAGCTGCAAAACCTTCTCAGCTCAGACACAAGTGTGCTGCAGGAGGCAGAAAAGCGGACAAGGCAGCTGGAGTACACGGAAGGTGATTTGGCGCGCTGCCGTCTTGGCGTAGCTTGGGAGGGGTCTACATGTAGCTCTATCTAACTCATTTCACCCACTCGCAGGATATGGCGTCTACCTTTCTGAAATCATAATGAACCAAGCGCACGAGCTGCCACTCCGCCAGATCGCAATTGTGATGCTCACTCGGTATGTTGAGAACCATTGGTCGGATGACCAGGACATCAGGGGCAAGTCAAACGGCTGCACGGCCAGTGAGCAGGCAAAACGCACAATCCGCAACATCCTGCCCAACGGACTGTACGATCCAAACTCTAAAATCCGTTCATCGGTCGCGCACACCATATCTACCATAGCAGCCACAGATGACCCCAATGGTTGGACGGAGCTGTTCGACATAATTGTTAAATGCTTGGGCGGCAATGAAGACTCTATTCATGGAGCCATGCAAGTCCTGCAGGACTTCACCTACGATGTTAAGCAGATCAAGGAACTTGGCCCGGTGGTCATACCCGAAGTCTATCGCATCTTCGACTCTGAGCAGAATTATTCTATCAAAACTCGAGTATCCGCCATCCGCATCTTGAAGCCATTGTTTGCTTCCATCGCCACACTAATCACCAACAAGGATGAGCAGAGCACCATGATGAGCTCCATCCTGACAAACTTTATGGACAAACTTATGCATTACCTAAGCATGAACAGCGGGGCCGGATCGAGTTTCCTTCTCCGCTCAGAAATCATCAAGGGTTGGTTTCAATTCATTTTTCCTTGTAAAGTCAACTAAACTTGTATTTTTTATTACAGTGTTTACTCATTTGGTCAACGAGATGCCGAAATACATCAACCCCTTCATGGATCGCGTTCTTCCAATTGTTTGGCAGCTGCTCACCCAGATAGCTGAAACGTACGTGAAGGTGTCGGTAAACCAGACTGAGTCAAATCCGCTGGCTAGTGGCGACAGCGAGGAGGATGACGAGCAGACCAATTTTCAAACACTGATCATTCAAATCTTAGAGTTTATTAACTGCATATTGACATGCAACAAATTGCGCGGTAGTATTAAGAATGTGCTGACCGACCTTATCTACATTACAATTGTATACATACAACTGAGTGAGGAGCAGCTAGAGGACTGGCAGGATGATCCAGAAAAGTTCGTGGACGATGAGGAAGACGGCGGCGTGGAGCTCACCGTGCGCATGTGCGGTCGCGACGTTCTTCTGGTAAGTAGGTAACACTTCCATAAAAAGTTATAGCTAATAATTTTGTTTTAAGGCAATAAACGACGAATTCGGGGCCAACGCTATCCAGCCACTGCAGGAGGCTTTGGGCAGGCACTTCAGCGTGGCCGAAGCAGAAAAGGCGGCCAACAATCCAAATTGGTGGAAGATCCAAGAGGCATGCATGGATGCTGTACATGCTTTCCGCGACATTATCCTTGAAGACGACTCTTCGTTTGACCTTCTGAACTATTTGACAATAGTTCGTAACTTGCTTGTTCACCAAGAATCACCACCTCTCGTTGGTCGCGCCCTTTGGACGCTTAGCACCTACTCGAAGTCGGACCTTTACAATCCACAGATGTTGGCCGAGATTCTTGATGTCACTCTGTGCAGCCTGTCGCCAGAAAAATCGCACATCCTCAGGATAAGTGCCGTCCGCACTTTAAACGGGTTCTTACAAGCAAACGAAACTATCGAGGGAGAGAAACGAAATTTGTTGGTGTCCAAGCTGCCCGGGTTTCTGGACGGAATCATGTCTTTGGTTCCGGGCTGCAAGGCCACAGTTTTAGCCCTGTTAATGGAGGCTTTGACCATAATGGTTAAAGTAAGTGATTGGAAAGCATTACTCGCCTTGTGTGTTATATAAATACTTTATTTATTTCAAGTTTGATGCTGAATTCGCATTCGCTAGCCAGGCAAAGATCACTCCCCTGGCCATTGCTGTATTCCTTAAATACACTGAAGATCCGTATGTGCTGGAAACTGTCCAGGATCTTATCAAAGCCCTGTGCCAACGCAAGGAGTGCCTAGGACCGCTGCAGGAAAAGTTTATTCCAACAATTGTGAGCATTCTGAGTCTGACAGGAGATGCATCCACGGAGAAGCAGGACATTGCCTTAGACGTTCTTAACACAATCGTCCGCTATACGGAGCCGCCGCTAAGTAATTCTCTGCTAGAGACAGCCTTTCCCGCCATAATCAACTGCGTACTGCGTACGGACGACCATGCTGTCATGGTATCCGGTGGCGAGTGCCTCCGCAGTTTTATTAATGTCTCCCCGGAACAGATTTGCAGCTATAAGAACGGTGAGGGGATCAACTGTATTATGCAGGTTGTTGCCACTGTCCTGCTGAATCCCATGAACAGCGAATTGACAGCGGCTGGCCAAATTGGACGTCTTGTCATCACTATTATTACCAAGATGGGCAGTATGCTCGGCCAGAATGTGGACATGCTACTGAAGGCTGTGATAAGCAAAATGCAGAACCTCGAGTGCCTGAAAGTGATCATGAACCTCGTTTTAATTTTTGCCCATTTGTTCCTTACACAAATGGACGCCGTGCTCAATTTTCTGTCCACCGTTCCTGGACCCAACGGAGAGCCAGCGATGCAATTTGTACTCACCAATTGGCTATCACGGCAGAACTCTTTTTTCGGAAACTATGAACGAAAGGTAAGTGAATTTAAATTTGGTTTCAAATCACATCTTTGAGATATTAATGCTATATAACCGATTTTCTATAGGTAACCACCATGGCTCTTTGCAAACTTTTTGAATATGGCGTAGCCACCCAGGACAACCGACTCACCACAATAACATTCAAGGAGTTGGTGGACGACCCCACAGATACGCGCAGACGAACTCGGTCTGTGGCAGCTACAACCCAGAAGTGGGTGACCATTCCGGCTCTAGTCAAAATCTTTAAGGTTTTGATTTCTGAGTACCAGCATTTCCAGGAAAGCAAAAACGATGAACCTCTTACGGACAGCGGCGAGGACGACGAGGATGAAGATGCACCCGGAAATGCATCCAAGCCTCGCTACATCTCCGATCTGTTCGAATCGGACGAGGATAATGCTGATGATGAACAGCTTTTGCAGGAGCTGCTTCAGGAGACTAATTACCAGGGCGATATTGGCGACAACCTGCAGAAGTTCCTTACTACTTTCGCGCAGAATGAACACTTTCCCACTTTTTATGAACACCTTACCGAAAACGAGCGCCTCATCCTGCTCAGCAAAGTGCAGCAGAAGTAGCAGGCTGCATATATAGGAACCCTCCTTTTTTATATGTTGTACGTCGAATTGTGTTAATTGTATTTATAAACTGTTGCTTACCCTTGAATTGAATACACATTTATATATTTTCTAAGACTGCTTTGATGTCATATGGATTTGTCTATTAACGAAATATTATGAAAATAAATTTAGGGTTTTTTTGAGATTTTGAACTTAAAAAGATGAACAAATTTTTATAAAAACTCAAAAAATGTAGATGTTTAATGTTTTTAGTTTTACAATTGCTATTACAATCAATTACAATCAAACCTTTACCCAACTTAAGACTAACATGATTATAAGGCCACCTCGTCGTGACGCAGCTTGCGCTCTAAAGGAATGTCGGGCTTGTAGGCATCCTATTGGGAAAAACCAAGATTAAACTGGAATACATGAGTAAAGATCAATTGAACTTACCATAGGGCTTTTCGCAGCCAAAGGCAAAAAACTTTCGTATGCACGGAGTGAGCAGCACTGGATCAACTTTGTTGGGATTATTTTTGCCAAACATCAAGGTACCGACCAGCGCTACAATAATCGTGATGGAGGCTCCAAAGGTTGTGTACCACATATAGGAGATTCTGTATAGCGGAAAGATATCCCTGTGAATTTTAAGAATCATAAATAAGCTGGCTATCAGGTTGAGAAACTACTCATACTCCGCAGATGCCCCCAGGTGAGTTGCGTTGGCCAGACTCGTTGTCACGTTGAAGCTGTAGTTGCATTGCTCCACATTTAGCGGTTTCGTATTATAACTAATGGCTCCAGATGCAATGGCCCACTGTGCATTTAGACTCACCCATGACATGGCTATCACACCCATAATACCACCCAGCAAAGCGCTCTGAAAAGGAATTAATATTCCGTTAATAAACCACCTTTTCATATTCATGAACTCACGTTTCCATTGATCCAGGGCAGGAAAACGCCGATAGTGAAGATGCCAAATAATGGACCGTTTGTAATCGCTTCCAGACTCATGGTCAACTGAAGGACGGTACCCATATGCTCCACAACGTAGACCAGACACACACAGAGGGCTCCTACTCCGACGACCACCAGACGCATAATCCAGTTGATCGCCGAACTGGAGAGTGGGGTCTTTACATAAGGCTTGACAAAATCCTCCAGCACCACGGCGGACATGGAGTTAAGGCAAGTCGAAAGGGAACTCAGAGCAGCGCTAAAAACGCCGGCAATGAAGAGTCCTGTCATACCGGGAAGTTCTCCTAGGGTTTCCATCACAAAGAGCGGGAGGAGTTGGTCTCGAGCTTTCGCCAGCTGAAATGGATGATTGATGCTCAATAGAAGAAATTTAAAGACTGAAAAGTTACCTTTGTGGTAAGGGGATCACAGTTCTGGTAGGTAGCATAGATAAGAAGTCCATTGTATCCACAAAGTGCCATTAAAAGGAGTACGCCTGCGCAGAAAATACAGAGCGCCTTTCGGGCATCACCAAGAGTCGGGAGTGATAAATACCTCTGGATCATGTTTTGGGATACTGCGTTAGTCTGAGTCCAGTAGACAATCCCTCCGAAAAACAGGCACCAGAATGTGTGGCGCACAGTGGGATCGATATTAAGGCTAAACAGAGTGTATAAAAGTAAAAATATATATACATAATATATATGTATTAATTATTAATAATAATAACAAATAATTATTAATTATATGTACATATATGTATAATAGAATCATTCTTACTCCGGCGCTTCCAGTCGATCGCTGTTCCAAGCTCGCTCTAGGACTACTGCAGGTCCTCCAATATCACGGGTGCCTTTAATTGCCACCAAGGAAAGTGCTCCCACCATGGATACAGCCTGCACCACGTCAGTCCATACCACAGCCTTCAAACCGCCCAGACTTGTGTAGAAGACACAGATGATGCAGACGATCGGTGTAATCGTATGGACTCCAATCCCCGTCACCTGGTTGAAGGCCAACGCCGGGACGTAGATAACAATGGGCAGATAGGCCACCTATAAAAATATATAAGATTTATAAAGAGATATTCTCATAACCGTTTCACCCTGGTATATTCGAAAGAACTACCTACTTGAGTTAATGTATAAAGAATAATTTAGATAAACAATTATTTTATCTTTTCAATTTAAGAACAATGGGGCAAGTACATAATTGGAGGTCATCGAATACTTACATTCATAATAGCGAACATAACGGATCCGTAAAGCCGTAACCTCCGATCAAATCGAATCTCCAGATACTTTCAAGAATCCAAAAACAACTTTAGATTTATCAATATGGATGAAGAAATAAACTTACCTCGTAGGTGGATGTTATGTTCAGGTCGTGAAAAACTGGAAGGTAAAAAACACCCATCACCACGCCCATGCCGATGACTCCACAAGCCACATACAGATACTGGACGCCATAGGAGTACACCTCAGTTGGAAGCCCGAGCAAAGTGATCCCGGAGACAAAGCTTGCCACCAATGAGAATGCGATAGGGATGACCAACATTTTTCGTCCGCCCAGCATGTAATCATCTTCGGAAACGGACTTGTTCATAAACCCAAAGTATATGCCAATCCCGATGCAGAGCAGGAACATCGAAACGAAAGCTACATAGTCCGGCCAGGCGAAGTGCTGCAGCTCGCCCAGAATCTCCTCTATGCTCGACATGGTGACTAACTACGGTTGTGGTCGGCGACTAGATGGGATGTGTCTGACTCTCAGGTTTGTCGGTGGCTCACTGAGCCCATGTGCGGCCGAGATTTGGGTGCTTCTGCTTAGGCAGTTGTGATTCAATTCAATTCCGCTCAATTATCAAATGTGGGGTAATTTAGTTTCGGGGGCACGGGGTAGCGACTATCTTTAGTTAAGCCGGCGGGAGAGGGAATTATAACACCTCCGTCTCCAGTTCCGGGAACGTTCCATTGATCATCGCTTCTCTTTGCGAGCACTGACACAATTCCCACTAGGATCGTTTCAGATTCCCCTTGTAAGCAATTATGTCACACAGTACGCAAACTGATCTTTCGAAAATTCGCCAAGAATCCGGCGCCGCGACTTAATCTTCACACCAATCACAGCCAGATCCCGGAGGCTGCACTACGCATCGGCATTTCCTACCGCCGGAGCCAAAATGTGACGCCTAATTGGCACTGTCGGAATTTTCGCTGATGCGGTTTGTAGTTGCACAAGAACTGATTGGGAGCCATGCGCCACCCGACGATTACTACGTATATAGTCATTCACAGAACCCCCTGGCAGAGACCCAGGAGAATTGCAGTGGGGGCGGGATGGAAACAAGCACAAGATCACCGGCAAAACGGTGGGAGATTAGATCACTTTAAAAAATGTTCAAAATGGTATCTAAATTTGTTTAAAAAAAAAGTTTAATAAAAAAAAACAAATATTTAAACTGTAAAGTAAGGAAAATTACTAAAAATATTAGTTAGTTTAAAAAATAAAACCAAGCTTTCTGTAATAATCTTGTTTATGATAGTTTTTATAAATAATTTTAAAAATTTGATAACCAAAATTCTTAAAAGGAGTAAAGTAAAAAATTCAAACAATTAAAAAAAAGTTCTTTTTTAATTTAAAATAGTTTAAAAATATACATTTTTTTCAGTGAGGTTGCCCCTCAACTTGAACGCTTTAGTTACAATCTCAGAGAATTTCATTTATTTCGAATCACCGGCCTGCAGTTCGCTCTTCAGTATCCAAGATGCGGCTCTCAATGCAATGGCCGCGACCACCGAGTTGGGATTCCCCGAGATGGGCCGAGGCAAAACTTGAAATAATAATATAACGATATAATTATTCATTGTTTTGAATTAATGCATAAATGCCTGATTGTTATAAACGCTTGTTATTTTCAGAGAGTTTAAATCTTTGAGTTATACTAAAATTGAAGTTGCAAGTGTTCTTACCGCTGGCATCGACCACACGCACATTGGATACGCCCTGTAATCTGTATACAATATTATTTAATTATAAAAAAACTTATTTAATATACTATAAGAGATCTTTTAACCTCAACTGAGAATCCACAACGCTGTTTAGGGCACACGTGCCTCCAGGATGATGCGATCCCAAGCCAATATGGCGCATTAGGCATTCCAGATAATGATCTGAAGGTCGGTTCTCAAAGAAGTCCCGCTCGAAGGGACCGAAGTTGGAGCACTCCTGCAGGCGAGGCCAATGGATGCGGGGATGCAGTGAAGTAAAGGCAGTAGAGGTGACCAGCTAAAATGTGAAACACAATTCAACACCAATATGGAGGTCATACCATTTATTTTAGTTACCTGTACTGCACTTCGGATGGCAGCAATGGTGCATGCCACATCCTCCACTCTGTCCAGGTAGTTCGGATCTATCTGGGGATTTCTTCTCATATGCCGATTAAGAAGTCTCACGGATCCGCGTGACTTAGGCTGTAGGCAACTGGAAATTACCACCAATCCTTCCTGGGAGGCGTTATAATATCGCGGGAAGAGAGCCCGAAATGCTGGGCCTTTAAAATTGGATATTGACATTAGAGCAGATTCATCGATGGCGCCGGCTCCGAAAAATGTAATGCCAAATGGCGTCGATTCTGATCCTCCATAACTAGCTACATTCCCCAGTACCCCAAAGTTTCCCAAGGGACCGGTTCCAGAGCTAAGAAAGTTGATCAAGGTCATAGGATTTAAGAGTGTGTTTTGGTTAAGTGTTGGACCAGTAACTCCCAATGAAACGAAAAGCGGAAGATTGAAGTGATCGTGCAAGTTTTGCCCCACAAACGGTAAACTATGCTGCACCGGAATCCCCATTTTGTTTAATACAGATGAGTCTCCGATTCCCGACGCCATCAGGAGCTGAGGAGTTTGATAAGCTCCAGCGCAAATGATCAGCTCTCTTCTCACCTCGATGGTGAATTCTTGCTCTCTGTTTTCTTCGTCCTTAATCCCCACAAGAATAGAGGTGGCCTTCATAAATGGCTTGGAAGAAAGTTGAATTCGTTTCACTAGAGCATCGGGCTGCAGACGAAGATTGGATCGATGGAGCACCGGGTTAAGGAACTGCTGCACAACTGAATGGCGTAGGCCATTCTTTATATTATAGGTAGACCGCCGAAAGATCCAATCTTTGTGAGCAAACAGCGCCTGTGCTTCATCTAGTGCTTCAGTTAACTTAGAGTAACGTCGAGGTATTTCAAACATATCCAACGGATTTGGTTTGGCTGCTGCCATAAAGGATCTCATATGAGCCCAACTCCAATCGCTCAGATTGTGGATATCCCGCCAGGAATCAAAGTCTGGCCCATGACCATCAAAGTGCAACATATAATTGAGATTGGCGGAACCACCGAGTCCTTTGCCTCTCGGAAGGCATTGCTTTCTGTCAATAAGCCCTTTGGAGGAGTGTTTCTGCGAAACAGAGACGAACGACCAATCGTTGATGCCTTTCTGCTGGAATGTGGTCAGCAGGGGTATCCGACTAAGTAAACCGAATTGACCACCAGCCTCAATGAGCAAAACACTGCCATTGCTGTGCTTGGCCAGCAGCGAGGTAAGGGTGCTTCCTCCAGTTCCAGCTCCAACTGTATGAAAAAGTGAGTAAGTATTCAATTGAGCACAAAAAGTAATAAAGTTAAAAAAACATAATTATAGTACAAAAATAATTTATTCACCTATCACATAGTCAAAAGCATATTGTCGCTCCTCTGGGGCCAATACATTAGGAATGGAGTTCTTTAGCAGAGTACCTGCCAGGATAACCATGACAGATAGAAATCCTATTATAATCCCACCCAAAACCAGTATCTCTGCAAATACACTCTCTCAAAAACTATTTGTTTATGTTATCTTTGAGCTTACTTTGAAATTTCAGGCTCATGTTGTTCTGTGTGATGACGAAATCTAACTAGTTAGAATGCGAGAACAATTGACTATCGTGGACTTGGTCTAATCCAATTAAAGCCTTTAAGGGGTGGGATTGGGCGCTAAATTTTAAATAAAGTGCGCCACAAATGGTCTAGAGATGAGCTTTTGGCGAACGATAATTATTTGGTGATGAGACGTCTTGGATACTACATTTATTTGAATAAACAGCTTTGTATACAAATGCTAAGAATTAAATATTTAAAAGAATTTTTTGTGAGCTTAGGTCATCTGTTTTTCTTTAAAATCAGTTACGGGGTAGCTATGCCTATTTCAGCTATTCATTTGTCTTTCATTCAATTTTTGTCCATAGATTTTTTAAGCTTTTTCCCGCCAAATTCAGCCAGCTGCAATTCGATTTTCATGTTGATATCGATTTTTATGCATCACTGGCAAGGCAACCGTAAGCCACCTAAATTCTTTGTTATTGCATTCGTCTGCTCAAAAGATCGGAGGAGTCGGATTATTTGATCGACTTCAGGCATTCCGAGATAATATGCGGGCCTCTGTTATCACTAGTCAGTGGAAGTCTGCTAGTCGGGCAACAACGAAAACAAAAGGCGAGCTGTAACAATAGCACAGATCCCGATAATCAGCAGTGGAAGATCACTCTGTAGGCAGCCCCATTTAGAAGTCAAAAGACCGAACAATGAACTAGCATTAGCTTCTATAAAATAACTACACAGCTCAGAAAACGTTGGACTCCCAAGGAGCAACAGGTGCCTCACTATGGGTGACCAACAAGAGAAGAATCTGCTGCAGCTCTTGGAATTACTTCCCAAGGATCAGCGACAGGTCTTTGAGGTTGCTTTAATAAATAAGTGAGACAAGAGGGACTTAACTTTAATACCAACTCTATTTACAGACCTTTATTCAGTGGCTCCATGGCAAGTCTTCGGGAGCTATTCATTCCCACCAGAATGCTCTGCAATTGGTACTCGAGGAGTCACCTTACCCAGCCCTACAACTGCTGCAGATGCTCCACGAGCATTCAAAGTTGCACATTGGTCAAATAATTTCCACCTTACTCCGGCAGCTGCTAGATGACGATGTCTCATCACCGCGTTTCCTTTGTGTGTTGGCTAACTTTCCCGCACGCATTTTAGAGGCGGCAACGCTCCGTCAAAAACTGATGACTCGTTTAGTTGTTGATTCAGTCACTAGCGAGCACATAATGCTGGCCTTATTGGCACGAAGCGAGGGACAACTTTTAGAGGATGTGCTGCAGGAGCAGGAGTTGTCCATGCGGGCGCAATGTAGCAAGACTGCTCCCACCAGACTTTTAATCTTGTGGCTAGCCCATAGCCAAAGAGAGCACTTTGTGGCCAGTGTCTGCCAGAAACTGAAAGACTTTAAGTGTTTCCAGGACCCTAAACTAAGGAACACTTTGCTGATACTGCGACTGGCAAATGAGTTTGCTCTGGGCACTCAGACTTTGGACGAGCTTGGATGCCTGGACAAATTCTTAGACGAATTTGATGTGGGCGCTGTGCCGGAGGAGCTGCGGGACGTGCATCAATTCTTCTTTGCGGACTTTCATCGCCTATCTACTCTGCTCAATTTTCTGCGCCCACGAGAAGTAAGTAAAACCCTGAAAGTGGATTCACTGCTACGGGCTCCTGGTGTCCTATCCCTAATTCACGAAAACGGAATTCGATGTGAACACCAAGAGATGCTGAGCCTACTCGAAGATACCTACAAATGGCAGCAGCAGACTCCAGCGCTAAAGTGTCATCACCAGCAGGAAGTTGAAATTCTCAGTTACTACACTGCCCTCTGCCATGTATTCAATATTGTTCTAGATCAAAGCGAACAGACAACCAAGACCAAGCTAGTGCAGCTATCCGGACAATTAAGGCAATTGCATCAGTTGGGAACATTATGCTCTTTGCTGGAAGACATATTCCTGTTGGTTTTTCTTCGCTGGGAGCAACTGGATCAGAACCAGCAGAAAAAAAGAGAGAATGAGGAGGATGATGAGGAAGACGATGATGAGCAGTATGTCGACGATGACATTGTCTCTCCCCCACGTCCCACAGCTGTCCATAGTCAGCGCGTTCGTTATGGATTTATTTGCCGTTCGCCTTCGCTTCAGGCTCTCTTTACTTTTCTTAAGGCTTTTGTCACCAAGAAGCTGCACTCCCAAGACTACAAGAGCGCCCCGGAACACCAAGAGAGATTCCAGCGCTTAGTGGATGGTATTAGTGAAGCTTTGTGGAAGCTGAGTGTTTTGCAAAAAATAGAGCATTCGTTAATCAAATCGGCTCCTTCAATCAGTTGTCTTCTAGAGCCAGAACAACTGCTCCAGTTGGTCCAACTTCACAACAATTCAAAAGAAAAAGCATCAAGCGACGACGAAAGCCGGGAGCGCAGCAACCACGCCTCCAGTCTCAACCGGAGAAAAGCCCGTAGGCAGCGAAGGGCGGCTAGTTTCAGTGGAGCGGTAGCTGCAAAGACATCGATGGATGGAGGACTTACAGTGGAGCAGTTCCAAGCTCGGGCCCAGTTGCTTAGTGGCAGTAAAAGCAGGAAAAATTCCCGTGTTACTTCTCCATGTGAGAGGTCAATAATTCCGAAAATGCTCAGCACGCCAGAGCAATTGGCCATAATGGCTCTGGCGCTAAAGAATTTTACTGATGTCAAGCAAATCATTCAGGTGAGTTGGTAGAAAACCTGCAATAGCTCTCTTTATTGTTGAGCCTATATCAAGACCTACCTTTGTTATTTGGCATTACGATTAATATAACTTACTTAAAAATCACAGTTAATTTCCATATAATATTGATTCATTATGTGAAATTTTTAATAACAAGTGATTGGTTACCATAGCCGAGTGTGCTCAATGATGAACGTTTCCTAAGAAAACTTTAATCTGTATTATAACTTATGTACTTTATTTTCAGACCTTTCACCTGGAGCAAAGTCAACTCAATCGTGAAATGCATTTCATGGAGCAGCAGCAGCAAGTGAAGCAGAAACTCGCTACCATCTACGCTAATTACCAGGCGTTGGAGGCGCAGCAGGCCCGCTCTGGGGAGACCACCGTTGAACAAATAAAGAGCGTGGCGGCTAAGGGTTTTGAGCTGTCTAAGATTATTAGCGTTGTGGACAACTTTGCGCAGGCGCAACGTTTGCAACAAAGCACCGAGTTAAAAGCCCTCATCCTGCGTCACAGTTCCAATGGACAGCAGGGGTTCTTGCAGCAGTTCGAGGATCGAAATCTGAATGCCCTGATCATATGCGATCTTATAGTTAACTTGGGCTTCAACCGCGAAATCACCAGCAATCTGTTATTGGTCATTCGCCGACAGCAGCAGCAGAAGATGACTAGCGACGAGGCTTCCTCCTCCAATGGTTCCGCTGAAATTGGAGCCATGAATCTCCTGCAGAATCTCTGCGAGTGCATGCGTTTGTTGGAAAAATCTGGTCAACAGTCTGCTCTAAATGAGCTACTGTCTTCAAAGAGTTATCCACTCAGGCCATCAGTTTTGGCCTTGCAGCTTCAACGGGAAGTTGCATTTCAGGCGCTTTATCAAAAAGAACCATCGGACTACTCGCATGGACAGGAGCTTCGCTCCAGCGCCGGACTCTTTCAACAACTCCGATCACGATATAGTTACTATGCCCGTTTCTGCAGTTATGTCCAACAACTGGCCCGACTATTGCAGCTCAGAGATCCTAACCTGGAGTATCACACAACTCATCTTCTTCGCAACGATCCCTACGAAGTAATTGGCGAATTGATTTACGAGTGCGGCATAACACCCTTGGAGATCGAGGCGAGTGTTGCTGCTCTTCATCTTAATCTTGTTCATGTCATTGCGCTCAATATCTGCCCCCAATTGAGCGAGGAACCAACGAAAAGATTACCTCGAGTGGTGGCTCCGCAAAAGCAGGAATCCATTCATAACTATATTACGCAGCACAACCAGCTATTGGCTCAAATATTGCTGGCCATACAGCTGGGGTACCTTCCGGATGGCGAGACCGGATTAAACTTTTCATTTCTGGGGCAAATGATTAATTTACCTGAGATGGAGATCCTGGCATCCATGCACGAAGGCAATAGAGTGCTGGCCGCTTTGAATACCTATAAATTGGATAGAGCCAGTCTCGACCAGATGGTTCCGGACTGGGAACTACAGCTGCAAATTCTTCTTCTTGGCATTGGTGGACAGTCAGGTTAGTAAATACCAAATAATTATTTTGTTCTAGCACCCAAAGCTATCCCCTTTATTAGATTCCCAAAAACAGATAAATAGCAGGATTGACCAACTCATAGCGGATCTGATTGATAAGGATCCACGAAATATACATCTTGTTGTACACATGAGCAATCTCGGACTGCGGGCCAGACTGTTAAAAGAGCACTTCACCCGCATTCCTAGTAGTCAGCAGGCCAAGGAACTGATCGAACGTACTCTTCAGCACCGCCGAGCGGCTAAGGCGATACCATCATCTCTGCGCTCCGATCTGGAACACACGCTGTCAGACATAACAATATACGCTAAGGTGTCGGCTCTTCTTCAATTTGAAAGTTGGCCACAAGCCTATGACTTTGGACGCCAGACACCAAATGTGATCTTCGAGCAGTTGCTACAACGTCGGCGGTATGGGTTGTGCTTAGAGTGGAGTCGCGTAGTTTTCCTAGCTGGATCAGCGGGTCAGCAGCGGGTGTGCTTGCTTACCCTTTTAGATGCACTCTTGGAACTACAGGATGGCGATGAGCTTGATGCGTCTCTATTAGGTATTGTGGAAATGTTTCCAGCCATTTCATTGGTGAATTTCTTGGACACCCACAAGGATAAGTTCAGGTCGCTTCCACTACTCCAGTGGGTTATCGATTACTTAGAAAGTCATGCCCGTGATCCGCGACTGTACAGGAACTATCAGCTTTCATTGGAGTTTTTACGGCAAATGGATAACGATGAGCGGTCTCAATTTTGGAAATTACTTCGGCATCCACTGCTCATTGTAGAGCAATTGGTAATGAATGCCCGTTTTGAACTACTCGGAAAACTGTTAGATGCGGCTCGGTCCAAGTTGCAAAAGGAGAAGCCTCTGGGCCCATGTCCTTATTGCTTTGAAAAAACAGGGCATGTGTATGATGTCCGCACTAGTTCAGGTTCGGAACGTGGAGCCGGAGGAACACCAGCAAAGTTGCGTTTTCAATTGGGTCAAACCACATCGGAAGCTTTTATTCTGTTAAATTTCAACTCTTACCAGCAGGATCACTTTGTGGGGCAGGAGTGTCTGGACCTGCTGCTGCGAATTTATGCCAGCAAAGCTTTGGACTACAATGTGGCAAATGTGAGGGCTACTTCCGAACCGAGTTCCCTGGGCACCGATGTCCAGAACTCACTGGATTCTCTCTGCGGTGCCTTTGTAATGCCAAAACAAGCACCCAACCGGCAGCAGTGGACGCGGGACGAGGAGGCTAGTCACTGCATGTGCTGCCGACGGGCAGCTTTTACCATGTTGATGCGAAGACATCATTGCCGCAGGTGTGGGCGAGTGGTGTGCTACGCCTGCTCCACCCATCGTTTGCGCATACCAGAGCTATACGACGAATTGGAAGTGCGCATCTGCAACGATTGTGCCAGTAGCTCGGCTGCCAAAGATCAAGGAGATGGTGCCTCCAGTGAGCGAAGTGCAACTTCGGTATCAGGATCAAGGTCTTCCGGACAGATTGATTCCTGTAAATGGCGTTTAAGTGGGATCATTACACACGACAAATTGTTGCGCGAAGAGTTCTCCTATGAGCATGCCCCTAGTGTAGCTCTTAGTTTGTCAATTCTTCGCAATCATGTCGAGCAGCGTAGCTGCGTTGATCTCCTATTATTCCACTGTCGCAAGCTGGAGAAGCTGATTGTACCTAATCCGGAGGTGGACTACGGTCTTGTGGCAAAAATGATTAACTGTTTAGCATTCGCCGCAAAGGTTGGTCTTAGCTTTTAAACGTAGGAAATGTAGTCTAATTAAAATATTTCAAATTATTTTAGGTCCGTGGCGCTCCAGGAGAACTTGAAAATATTCGCGAGCACTCTGAGATCATTATGGCGGTTGTGCAGCAGGGCTGTGAGTCGTTAATCCCAACTGGACAACTCAACAACCATAATCTGCGCAAGCTAGCAGACGCATTGGTGGAGACAGAGCATTGGACTTTAGCCCTAGAGGTCCATCTAAAGTGCGGTTTCGCTACAACAGGTGTGATGGCGGCCCATGGGCTAGCTTGTCTCCGGGCCGGCTGCTACGATGCAGGTAATCTTAAGTCGTAATTCCGTAAATACCCTTTATTAATTCAAATATTTCAGCCCGTGAAAAATTTGCACACTGCATGACTCGCCTTTCCAGTGAGCAGCTCAATAGCAGCATCTCCAAGTGCATATTCGGAGCGGCATCAGCGGAAACGGTCCTTCTGCCCAGGAAGAGGCCACAACGAGGTCCGGCCCTTCTTCAAGAAATCCTGCAATTGATAGCTGCAATTCCTCAGACACAACCTCAGCCGGAGACTCTTCACCGGGCATCACTTATGCGTAATTCCAATACCTCGCTGGCCTCGCTTTTCACGCGACGTAGGGAGCCCTATGTCCAACAACGACCGCTTCAGGAACCAGCTCTAAACGTTATAAACGCTCTGGCGGGTCTGAAGAACATAGCCAAGGGGCATTATGGCGGGAAAATTCCAGCTAGCGAGGAAGGTCGCCGGCAGGAACGCGGCTTCGAAGAATCACTTCATTATGTACTCACCTATGGCAGCCACAGTGATATCCTAACCTTCCTGATACGCCGCGAGGAACTGCGAGCAGCCCTCCGCTACTGGCAGCACCAACAGTTGGACGCGGATTTATTTATCCAGCACATATTCCAGCCGCAACTGGCTAATGGAGGTCTAAACGTTCTAATGGATGAATTACAACAGTTGGACGACGCTCAACTTACTGCCTGGCGCCTGCCGCTGCTGCAGACCTGCCGACACTTGGAACAGCACCAGCAACTTAGTTCACTCTACCAATTGCAGCTCCTGCTAAAAGATCCCATTAGGGCTAGCATGACGTGTGTGAAGTTTTACGCCCTTCAGTGCGAGAACTTTCAGAAACTCCATTCCAACGCCCAGCATTTGCTCTCAGCCCACATGCATCTCCAGGGTGAACTGGATCTGTCCGAGTGGGAGCACCTGCAGCGACAACAAGGACGAAGAAACAGCGTGTCCAGTGGAACCAGTGTTCGGGGTGCCTGTTTCGCCATGCAAATGGATGCCAGGGCTCTCAATGGACACATAAATACTATCCGACGACAGTTGGAGGTGGCAAAGTTTTTAGCTAAATGCGAACGAGAGCAGGCGCCAGATGAGCCCCTAAGAACTATACAAACTCTCAAGCAGGTAAAAAAACTAATCGATTATTTTTACTTTTATTTTTACTAAACTTGCTTTTCATAAAGATCCGACTGGAGTCTAGTCGGGGAACATTGCCCACTTTGTTTGAAGGTGCCGCAGATCGCATCCAGTTGTGCATTCTGATCTTAATGTGCGGCAAAAACATAGACGAAGGTTTCGGCCTGGCATACGGGTAAATATAATGATACATTTTAGGGAGAAATAAGATTACAACTAAAGTATTTCAAATAGGATAGGATTAAAATATACTAAATTTACACTTTGCTAACTAAGGTCTCTTATGTTTAGAATTATGCAAGACTATAAGCTGGCTGCAATCAAGGTTTTTGGAGCCACTTCAAAGTATTTGGCCAGGAATCAGCGTCTGCCTGATGTGGAGCGCCTGTTGGACTGCATCGGAAGCAACAATGGCGGGGGCATTTCTGGGGAGTCTGACGAGATTCTCTCAATCGCCATTAATGCCGCTGTGCACAGTAGTGCTCCTGAGACTAAGCAGATGCTTGACAGGTTGATTAAGCGCATTGGCAGCGTGGAGTTACGGGTCTCCTCGTACATATATATTGGACAGCTTAAATCCGCCTATCTACTGGCCATCAAACACGAGCGATTGGCGGACGTCCGGCGAATATTGCGACAGGCGGAACTTACCGGGCAAGTGCACATCAAGAAGCTGTGCGAAATGAAGCTGCAGCTCAGTACCCCGCCAACGCCTTTGTGATATCGTGACCCTCGGGCAATAACATTTTATTAACCTATTAATTTTGGGTTTCACCAGCTGTGACAAATACTTGAGTGATGAATTTAATATGTTTGAGGCCTCAATTCCAAAAGAGCTTTAAATATCTAATTTCTAGTATCTATTCTTCAAGCTCAAAAGTCATTATTTGGGTATTTACCTAGTGAAATCCTATGTTTTTTTGTTTCTGGGGTAGTATAGGAAATTTGTTTTTAGTGTTTAACATTTAGATAAATTTTAATTTTTCCAAAGGGCCAGCAAGTATTTCACCTTCGAGCTCAAAAAGACTCTCCCAACAAGTAACCAAATTATATTATATTATTCATTGTACTGTATTATCTCAATGTTATTTTTATATTAAGTATATTGTTATATGTTTAGTTCCCAAAAAGGCGCAAATGGTTTTAAATTTTTTGGGATGATTGTTAACACTGGTGGTGACGAACTAGTTCGAGATCTGATGTGTTTTGGTAAATATACAGAAATATCAAGCAATGCGGGCGGTTATACAAAGGGTTAAGGCCGCCAAAGTAACGGGTATGTCGGGATCAAATACTTCTCATCCTTTGTGTGGCTTTACATTGCTTCTTTAGTCCTGGATGAGTTGGTGTCTTCCATTGGTCCGGGCCTGTGCGTTCTTGTGGGAATTAAGGCCAGTGATACTGCGAAAGATGTTGAATATCTGTAGGTATTTCCCGTTGAGGTAAAATCCATCGTGATCGTAAAGCAATCTTATAACAATATTAGAGTTCGAAAAATCCTGGCCCTTCGTTTGTTCGAAGAAAATGATAAACGTTGGCAAAAGTCCGTTAAGGAGCTTAACCTGGAGCTGCTCTGCGTTTCTCAGTTCACATTGTATCACCGACTGAAGGGCAACAAGCCTGATTTCTCAGCTGCCATGAAAGGCGAGGAGGCCCAGAAGCTGTATAATCTCTTCCTGGACAGATTGGGTCAATCATACGATACCAGCAAGATTAAAGGTTAGTCTGAGAAACGCATCTCCAAATCTCAATTAACCGCTATTCTCCAAATAGATGGCAAGTTTGGTGCCTACATGCAGGTGCACATAGAAAACGATGGACCCGTTACCATCAATTTGGAGTCTCCGGACCAAAAAGAAACCGACGCAGAAGTAGACAAGTAATGAGCAAATATATAAAGACAATATCTATGTACCACGGGGTTTTTATTTAGTGTATTTTTTAGCAGCAACTTAAACCTAAAAAAATCAGCGTACTCGTCCTTAGGCTTCTAACATCTCCAGATCTTCGATTCCCATTCCCTCCTCGAGCTTCTTCTCAAGCTCGCGCGCATCCACGTAGGTGATCTTCTCTTCGGGCAGATCCTCCTCCATGAGGGCAGCCTCCTCTGCTGCCTCCTTAGCACGTCGCTCCTTGAGGCCAGCGGCCGGGGAACGGATAAGGGACATGTTGCGTTGCACATCCTTGACGTCCATCTGTATTTCGATCTGGCGACCCTTACGCAGGCGTTCCATGACGAAGTGGCTGGTGCGCTTCTCCTTGATTTCTGTCACCCGCTTGATGGCCTCCAGAGCCTTCTGCCAGGTCTCGCGGCTGTATTTGATCGGAACGTTGCGGCGTTTCTCAAACTCGAAGCTGGGATCGATGGCCAGCTCCTTGCCAGCGGCCTTTCGGTGCGCCTTAGTCCATCCAACCTTGCGTGGATTCTTCTTTCGCTTGAAGGCCTTGTGGCACTTGCCCCGACAGAATTTGAAGATCTACGGAGAAATTAAGTAAACCAAAATAAACATCGAACCACATGTAAACATGACAGTCAATCGATCCTACCTTGCAGTCATTTCGCACGAAATTCACCCCGTGGCCTGGGTATATCTTGCTAGAGCAAAAATAACACGTTTCAATGCGCATTTTCGCAAATTACGACGGATAATTTGCGAAAAAAAACAAAGCGCAAGCAGCTAGCACGTGTGCTGCTGAAGAAGAAGAGAGATGAAAATGTATCGATGTCTACCAATATGACCTGGAAGAGACAATTATCGATAACGTAAGCAAGTCAATTGCGATATTTAGTAATTATTAATTATTTTTTAAACAATAAATCCTAAATAACCTTATTTAAATTTTAAACTTTTTTTCATATTTGTTGCTTTATTTTTAACAAATCATAATTCTATACAAATTACCCCCACAGGTGGTTTCTATCTGACTTGCTGATGAAGTCAGGTTTTTAAGATTATACTAGATTTAAGTTTCCCCAAAGCTAATTCAGATTGAGGTTTTCCCAAATGTTTAATATAATATATTAGAAATGATTTTGCCTATCTTTCTGTAACATCATATATATCAGCTGTTGCGCCAGCTGCTCCTCAAGGGTGCTCTGGTCACACCGCCAGCATCCAAACAACAAAACAATCCACTGTATAGACCTAGAAAATCGGACACATCACCGAGAACGAGATCTTGCTGACGTGCGACCAGATGCAGAGCCCCGCCTTCGCGTACCGGGAAGCAGATCACTCGCCGCGCGCCATGTACATGCGCGACTGGCGGTCGGCCTTGCGGACACCCACTTACCGAATTGGGAATCGGACGGTGCGCTTCAATTATCACTTTGCCCTGCTCATCGCCTGTGCACTAGGCTTGGGCCTCCTCTTCTACTTTGCGCGTCAGGGATCGCGTTCTTCGTCCGAAGGCTACTGGCTCCGCCGGAGTTTTACGTCTGTCCGCAGTTTAGACAATGGAGCGGTTACCCATGTCTACAATGCCACATATCCGCTTACGCCGCCGATGGTGCTGCGTGGCGGGGTGATTAACTACCGGATAGCTATGATAGCGGACTTGGACACCAATTCTAAGTTTTCCAAAAGCGACGGAAGCACCACGTGGCGGAGCTACTTGAAGAAGGGCTACCTCACCTATACGATGGCCAGGGCTGAGATCCAGATCAACTGGGACGATGGTGCACCTACTTCACTGGAATCAGCATTTGCCCTTAAAGGACGCGGAATGGAGCTTTCGGAACTGGTCACATTCAACGGACGCCTCCTAAGCTTCGACGATCGGACGGGGTTGATATACGAGATAGTGAATGACAAGCCCATTCCCTGGGTGATCCTACTCGATGGCGACGGTCATAGTGCCAAAGGCTTTAAATCCGAGTGGGCCACAGTGAAGCAGCAAACGCTGTATGTCGGTTCCATGGGCAAGGAATGGACGACAAGTGCAGGCGACTTCGAAAACAACAATCCTATGTACGTTAAGGCAATCAGTCCATCGGGCGAGGTGCGGTCACTGAACTGGGTGGACAACTTCAAGCAGCTACGACTTCAGTCGCAGCAGATATCCTGGCCGGGCTACATGATTCACGAGAGCGGTACGTGGTCTGAAGAACGGCAACGGTGGTTCTTCTTGCCTAGGCGATGCTCTAAAGAGAAGTAAGAACGTCAAGCTTTTTTCAAAAGCTTAAGTTATCACTATATTTTTTGTAGATACAACGAAACCAAGGACGAGTACATGGGCTGCAATGTCTTGGTCTCTGCCGACGAAAGCTTCATTAACATCGAAACCGTACGCCTCGATCCTGAGAGAACAACGCCCACACATGGCTTTTCAAGCTTTAAGTTCCTGCCCGGCACCGATGATACGATAATCGTCGCCCTTAAGTCGGAGGAGTTGAATGGCAAGACGTCCACCTTTATCACAGCATTTGACATTACGGGCAAGACTTTGCTGCCCGAGATGCGGATCGAGACAGATTACAAGTATGAGGGATTCGAGTTTATTTAGTTTGGCATTCCTCGCCACAAACTCCACTCCACAGCGACCCAGGTGCTTCAGTTTTAAGCGTGTACATAATGTATTATTGTCCCATATGGTAAGCTTTATATATATATAGTCAGCTAGGTTAGTCCAGAGATGCTCATCTGCCTCGTGACCCGTGACTCCTTGTCTTGTCTTGTACCATAGCACAAATCAAATTTTAGTTTATTATTGAAATTTAAATATAAAACGTACAAAGCCGGCGGCAAACTCAGATATACCCTGCATCATATGATTTTAACTTTCGCATCCAATCCGGCTACTAGAAGATCTGCTTTATCCACGCGTCCCTCGCTGGCTCGGACCTCCAATCGGTCAGCATTGTGGTTGACGTTCCAGAGTTCGGGAAGGAATTGGGGTTGCATAGTGTGCAGAAAATGCTCTCGCCACAAACGTTCCAGTTCCACAAGACCACCGAATTTTTCGCGATACTGCTGTACCACCCGCTCCCCGTGCTGGCAATAGTCGGAGTTCTCAATGCGGTATTCTACACTAGCTGCCTGACGAAGGAGATCTTCCGTTACCTCAGATTGCTCAGTGTAGTATTCGAGGAGTGTTTTCTGCATTTCCGCTACTTTAGGAGCGGGTATCTTTGCGCCATGGTGGAGTAGGGCCTTTCCTGCAGATTGAACGCGCCTAAAAGTGATAAAAAAAAAATAATATAGTTTATAGTCTAAAACACAAATACCACGACTTCTGCTATTTTGAAAGCCTACGTAGCTTGTATACTTCCTACCAAATATATTGTTCTAGTAATAATGTTTCGGAAGTGAAGACTGATAAACCTTTTCTAGGCAACTAATAGATAAGGTCTTCTACCATTTGGGCATGCTTTGATTTTCACATGCTCAAGAATGTTTGTTAAAGTCTAACAAAAGAGTTAACAAAAAATGAATAGGTGTAAAACCCGATGTAATACTAACTTCAGCTCCGGATCATCGTGGTACTTGACTGATCCATCTTCGCGTTTGAAAGGTGCTTGGCACTGGGTGGCTAGTTTGTTGCGCACTCTTAGATCCGAAATGTTGCTCAACTGGTGGCAGGTGGGACAAAGAAGCAGCACGTCGTGGGAGGTGTGGGACTTCATGACCATCGGAAAATGCTTTCTGTACTCCCTCGGAACTACATTTTTCCGGATGTAGGCATCTCGTTCGCCACACACAACGCACTGGTTTTCCTTAGGTGTTTGGTAGTAGCGACCAACATCGCCCACGGCTCGTCCCGCAGGTTCGAAATTAAGTCGCACGGTAAAGGGTTCCTCACTAATTTGTGTCCCGAGATTTTGATTGATATACCAGGAAGCCTTGCGTCTGTCGATGGTGCAAAGAAGTTCGCCATCGGGCGCTTGGAGCAGGCAGTTGTCGTAAAAGTCTTTGGACCTGGTGGCCATTTGCCGGTAAGGTTGTTTTTTGAGCATCCACTTTTTGCCTTGGGGCTGTGCAGAACCCTTCGAGCGAGTCATTCCACTTCCGGTCGGGTTGAGTGTGAATCCTTTTGTAAAGTCGACGTCCAGGAATGGCTCGAATTTATTTCGCAGACTTGTATCATCCGGTGCGCATCGTTGCCAAAAGTATTTGGGTTCCAGATCCCTGCACAGCTTCCGGTAAATGGCCACGGCCACCAGGGCATCATTGGCAGCATAGTTTAGCTGTTTAGGTTCCAGTTGCTTGGCTTCCCAATTGGAGCAGACTAGGCGCCAGTGTTTGTCCAGCTTATAGTTGAGATGTGTATCGGATAGCTTGCCCAATCCTTCCGGCTTGTGGCCAGCCATAACGCACAGAAACCGAAGATCCAGAGTACTAGCGACGCCCACTCCATAGTCATGCGAAAGCTTCATGGCATCTTCTTGTGGTGCCACGCCCACTTTGATCACGGAATCATCTTCAAGAAGCTCTCTTAGATCTTTAGGTATTTGTTTCATATGACAAAGACGGAATAGGGCACACAATCCCTGATGCGAACTTAGTTGAAGAAGGGCCACTGGCCTCCGACTTCCCCCTACTGTAATCCATTCGCAGTCAAATCCAAGGACTTTAAAATTCTGACAGTGTCTAAAAAACTGGTGGTTAAATATTTATTAACCGATTTCTGGTATGACTCACTTCTTTAGTTCATTCAAAACCCATTGCGTGGCAGGATCCTGAACGGAGTTTATCACTTCTATTTGACGTTGGGGCAGAAGACCGCCGGAAGTCCAGACTCGACGCAGGGGACCCAGCAGCGTCTGTCTGTTCCGCACCAAAACATAGACTAAGCCCACTCCAGCGGCCAAAACCGCCCATTTTCTAGTACTGGCGACTCCAGATTCCTGGCTCATTGTTTTGCTTTCGAATGAAAACAGCTGAATATAGGGGCTGCCAATTTAATTTTTTAAAGCTGATCTAAAAAAGATAGAAACCAGTATTTTGAAATTAAAAAGTTTACGCATTCAAATGAATCAACCAGAAGAGCAGCAGGTTATTTTGGGTTGATAAATTCAAAAGCAAGTATATTAAAGCGTCATAACTAATAAAAGAAGAAGGTATTTTGTGATTTGCAAAAACTTCTTTTCATTTTTTATGTCAGCTTTACACAATGTGGCAGCATGGTAAAGGTTTGCAGGGTGGCAGCTCTAGTCCGTTGGCTTTTATGAAATCCCCTTTTGAGAAAAGATTTAAAATGTTTAATTAAATGTAGACTTGGCGGGTAAACAATGAATAAAACTCAGTGAATCGGGTGGCGGGGAAACGATGTGCAAGTGAAAACTGTGGAAAACGCGGCAGCAGACAGAGACACAGAGCGTACGTAGAGGAAGTCAGAAGATAAAATCGATTTTTCAGTGCAGGTGAGACACCGTTAAACACCCCCAACCCACACACACTCACTCAAATTATTTGCAGGATGCTGAAATTTTGAAGGGAATCTGATATTGTAGAAAAGAAACCCCGAAATGCCGGAGAACCTGGAGCTGCGGCAGTTCCAGGAGGGCGCCCCGCCCCCAGATCCCGCCCCCCGTTGGCTGGAGCGTCTGCAGCGCCGTTTGGGCGCCGATTGCCCTTATTTGGGGATCTTGCTAGCTACACTTTCCTCGTTATTTTTTTCCTTGTGCTCAGTGATTGTCAAGGGACTGGTGGATGTGAATCCTATGGAGCTGGCTTCGTTCCGTTTCGTGGGAGTTTTGCTGCCTGCACTTCCTATCCTCATTTACACCCGACAGCCGGTGTTTCCGGAGGGTAAAAGGGTGATCTTGTTGCTGCGATGCTTCATGGGAACCACGGGTCTGATGCTCAGTTTCTACGCTTTCCGGCACATGCCACTGGCAGATGCAAGTGTCATTATCTTCTCTACACCCGTATTTGTGGCCATCTTCGCGCGGGCCTTCCTCAAGGAACCTTGCACGCTCTTCAATGTCCTTACCATTAACATGACTTTGGTCGGCGTGGTCCTAATCACACGACCACCTTTTGTGTTCGGTAATTCTGGAGACAGTGAGGAAGTATCCGGGAAGACGTACGACATCTGGGGACCCGTTGCTGCCATCTCGTCCACGCTTTTCGGAGCCAATGTGTATATCCTGCTGCGTGCCCTCAAGAATCTACACTTCTCCGTTATCATGACGAATTTTGGAACCATCGCTCTGGTCTACACTCTGATCGTTTGTGGATCCATTGGAGCTGTGTGCTGGCCCAGCTGCGGAAGGGATCGCTGGCTGGTTGTTGTGCTGGGCGTGTTCAGCTTCCTAGGACAGATCCTGCTCACTCTATCCTTGCAGATTGAGCAGGCCGGTCCGGTGGCCATAGCTCGGTGCGCAGACATCGTTTTCGCCTTCATCTGGCAGATGGTCTTCTTCGGGGAGACCCCCACCGCCTACTCTCTTGTGGGGGCCGTCATGGTAATGGGATCAGTTGTCCTGACGGCCCTCAAAAAGTGGGCAGGCACTCTGCCACGCGAGTCCTCGCTGAGGAAGCGCTTCAGGCTAATCCTGCTGGAATAATAAGGTTCCAGATGAATTGAAAAAGTTCGCGGTTTCTCCCCCGTCTTGCCATCGTTCTCACCTACTCATGCCAGCATCAGAAGCAGGCACCAAACCAGTTCATTCATTGTAGACTTAACTTATATCAAGGCTCAGATCGTAGTTTAATCAAAAGAAATAAGAAAGGACGCGTGATAACCACACTTATAAGTAAATACTCGTAGTGCGTGTTTAGTTTAGCCAATTTCGCCGATTTGTTGTTTTGTACATTGTTATACATGCTTAAAATACGATAATAAATACAACTTATGAGAAAACTTATAGAATGGTATTATTTTAATTTAAATTGCGCGCGTGATAGAGAGTAAGAAACTGTTTCCACTGTCATATTTTACATTCTACATGTAACATATTCTTTTATTTTTCACCTATTTTCCCAGACGAAAGGTTGTGAATAAATTAAAAAATGAAATTAAATGAAGACTATATTTTTTATTATAGTATAAGTATTTATTTAAAATGTAAAAATATATATTACAGCAAAGCCCGCTCATATAAAGTTGATTTTCAACAAAGTTATCGATACATCGATTGCAGAATCAAACTTACTCCCGCCTCTAGTTTTTCGTTTGTTTGTTTGTTTATTATTGTTTATGTTTATATTCTCGAAGCACACACACTCGAAAAAACAGAGCAAGGAACGGAAACAGAAACAGACGACAAGCGGCAAGAACTAGAAGCCCAGATCGGCGATAACCGCGTCCAGTTCGTCCTGCAGATTGGTGGCACGCGATCGCACTTGCACAATTTGATCCTGCAAATTGTCTACGTTCGCCTGGAGCAGCACATTGCACTTCTTCATCGCCGCGAACCGGCTTTCGTGCTTCTTCACCCGCGGCTCGACATTAGCCTTCTTCGCGGAGTTAGGCGAGTCCTGCAGGATAAATACCGAAAAGTAAAAGTAAGTCAGTGAAATTATGAATAATTCCTCAGTTATATTACCTCCGGCTCGGACTCGCTTCCCGTTTCCGCTTCACTTTCCTCCGAATCCGATTCCTCGGACTCGTCGTCAGATTCCTCTTCCTCTTCGGTAGCATGCTCCTCTTCGGCCTCCTCCTCGTCCTCGTCCTTCTCCTCGCCGTCCACGTCGTCCTCGTCCAGTTTCATCGAGGCAGCCATCTTCTGCACTTCCTTCTCCAGCTTCTTGAACTTCTTGTTTTCCTCTCTGCAAAAAGAAGAGGATTGCAGTTCAGTATATAAAAATAAAATATATAGGTATATCGTAAACTTACTTGAGGATTACATGATTCTTCTTCATGGCCTGCTTCAGGGCGTCCTTCTCCTTCTTGGCCGCCTCCTCCTTGACCTTAAGTTTAGTAAGCTTGCTGCGCAGGATCTTCAGCTCTTTGCCGGAGCGACGCTCCCTGCGTTCCACCTTCTTCTCCTCAGGTTCGTCGGGATCGCTTTCACTGATCTCGGGTTCCAGTTCTGGTGAGCTGTCTCTTCCGAAGTTAGCATCGCTTGGTCGACGCGATCCATCCAGGGATCCACCGCCCTGAAGTCACATAAGAATAATAAGTTAGGGATACAGAGTTCGAATTAGTGAGCTCATTCTCTGGCGGGCTATGGCTTTACCTGATGCCGTCCTGTATGGTAGCGGTCGTAGTGGAAGCAATCGTCGTAGTCGTCGTCGTCGTAAGCAAAGCAATTACTAATGTGCGGTCTGTTAGTGCTTGGTGTCGCCTTTGCAAGAGAGCGTCAACGGGTTAATCGGTTAGTTGCTGCGGAGTCGGCTGCGGAGTGCAAGAGCAAAGCTTCCACGGGCGGAGGACAAGGGACGGATCGGGATGTGTCCACGACGGGCCATAACTCCGCTTGGGTCTGGGCGGAATCGAAAAGGGGAAATCTCATGCAGCATGCTATTTAAACTGGAAGAGTTCTGCAAACGGGGATCCTTAAATTCTAATAGTTTTTTGCGTTTTTCAAGTTAAATTACTTTAATTATTTATATTTCAAGTCAGTTAATTAAAGAGAACCAAATAGCCATAGATAAGCTGCTAGAACATCCATGACAGGTCATTAAAGTCCAGTAATTACTTGAACAAAAATGATTGAAACTAAACACCCATAACAACTTGGGTTTATAAACTTTTTTGTTTATTTCCTGAAAGTTTATTATTTCAGAAATTGTGTTCAAGGGACCAGAAGGAGGCATAGGTGAGGGTTGAATATGTTAAAGCAGACTCTTAAATTTTCTGCTCCTCAAATGATTTATACATGGCTTCCTACAAATTGAGCTTCGACATAAAATAAATAGCTGCCTTCGAAATAAATAAGAAAATAAGTTCTAGCCAGTTTCATATTTCAATTTTCTGTTTTCATCGTGATTTTATATTTCAACTTGTCTACTTTTTTCTTTCGTTTTTCACTTGACTGCATTCAATTAGAGCTCTAAATATTCTTATTGGTTGCTAATCCTCGTGTGCAGAATAGCATAAAGCATTTTACGCATTTACAAGGGAAGGGTTGAGGGAAAAACAATTAGTGCCCTTGGGTAATCCGTTCCCAGACCCGTTCTCAGATTTGTATCAAGTGTTGTCAGCTGATCTGTCTGTTTCTCTGGCTACAGTGGCTACTAGGGACAACTAACGAGGGGTCTAAAGTGGAGTCTACTATTTGCGGTGACTTCGTTAGATGCTCCCGTCTATCTGCCGCCCTCAGCGGACGCAGCGAGGCGACGCCGGCGACACTAAAATCAAGAAAGAAGGTCTAGCTTCGGGGTCGGATGCTTGGTACATATACCCTTGGAGTTAATTATATACTGTGGGTAATCATATAGGTTAACATCGGTGAAGAATTTGAATTTATATCGTCTTTTACCAAACTGGAATCCTAGTCTCAACTGACAACACTTTAAGCGACATTCCATAATCTAATACCAAAACGTATGCCCTATTTCGACTTACCTGTAGAGCAGCTGCCAGTTTGCGTTCGAGCAACTGTATCTGGCGGCGCTGCTCCTCGATCTCGGTCTTGGCCTCCACCAACAGCTCGCTGGTGCTCTGATAGTTCTGCTCCACCTCCTTGGACACCTTGCGAGCATCCTCCACTTCACGTTTCAGGGAGTTGACGTAGGTCTGTTCGGCGGTAGGGGTGGGATCCATGGTGGCCACAATCACATTTGATCCGTATTCAAGATTCTTTTCGCGTGATTTCTCACGTTCTAGTTCGGTCTCTAGAGTTCGGATCTTGGCCAGTAGCTTCTTGTTTTCGCGCTCCTGGGCCTCTCGGTTGCGCAGTTCCAGTGCCAACATTTGCTTGGTGCTTTGCAGATCATCGCGGATCTTGTCAATGTCGTCCAGTTCGTCGGGACTCTCCTCGTCGATGGACATGGCCGATACAATGCTGGGCCGAGATCCTCCGGCTCCCAGAGCCGTGGCACTGCCTGGCCCGAGAGCATGGCTGCTAGGTGCTTCGCTCAACATATTGACCTTCGACTGGGACTTCTGCAACTGCTCCTCAATGGTCATTTGGCGGCGGAACTTCCGCAATCCATCCAGCACGGGCTTACTGCGATCGTTGGTCTTGGTTGGTTTCAACTTTATGCCGCCCTGGATCTGCTTGAGCAGCTTGTTGTGCGAGTTACCCTTCTCTGTTTCGTAGATGAACTTATCATCCACTTTAGTCATCGACTTGCACGTCAGGATGGGCTGAGATCTGTAGAGGTAGATGGTTTTAATACTCGCTTTGTTTTGGGATTAAAGATTATTTTTTCAATATATTAAGCATCGATTCTACTCTTTTTAAATGAATGAATTGAAATGAAACTTATTACCAACTGACGATAAAGTGGCGTATTACGGGGTAAACTGTTTAAAGATTTCCCAGCTGTGGCCTTAAATTACAGCTGCGTTAATTCTGTTTTCAATTATTGGTAGTGTTGCAAACGGTAATTACTGCGCAGCATGCCAGGGATAGCACTCACCTATCGTTGCAGGCCACATGGCGCAGCTTCTTGCCGCTCTCCACCTCCTTCATCATCTCGGACCAGTCCGGACGCCTTCGGGGTCGTGTCCTGCGAATCGAAGCAAATCGAAATTATGGTCATCCTGAGCATCAAAAGGGAATGCTATCCTGATGTTGGATATTTTGGGTTGCACCGGGGGTCGGGGGTCAGGAGCCAGGTCCACAACTCACCTGAGTTTCTCGAGAGTCTCCTTCTGGTTAGTGGAGAGCACTCTTTTCTCACCGGGTGCAAGGGGCGGGGGTGGCGGTGGCGGGGCCTTGGGCACCAACGAGGGCAACGGCGGCGGGGCGGGAACTGCAACAATAAAACATGGAATGCACCCAAGTGGGTGGCGGTTATTCTCGACCGGATGGTGGGGGCATTCACTGCAAGTGGGGCCGAGGTTTGGTCGTTGGGCATTAGAGCAAATCGCCGGGCGCTGCGTGCACTCGCGGTTATTAAATATAATTTTAATTTAATGAGTTTGCAATTTGTGTCAGTTGTTTGTTGTTCTTTCGGCTCCCGCGGGGTTCTTTATTCCGCCCGCCAGAGGGCTTGCCACCCTAGTATTTAGCAGTGCTGTGCGGGCAAAGTTGTTCCATACATATCAATACAGGGCAGAGGGAATGGATGGGCGGTACACTTAAAGTTCAAATTGGTATTTATTTCATTTTGCGTTGCTTTAAGGATTTTATTAAGGTTCTCCCATGCTCAAGAAGTTACTCTCTACCCATCAAGTTATCACTTTTTAAGTTATATATTTCTGCATACTTTATCTATTCCTTGTCTAATGTTTTATCTACTTTATTCTCTTGAAGGAACAAAACTTAAACTATTTCACAAACAATATGGTTATAAATAACCTTTCTTTTTTTGAAAATGTGGGCTTATTATTTCCTATTTAGCTAACTATCATCTGAATAGAACGCAGAAACAGAAACTATAGTGTGTTTATCTAAAGTTTCCCGTGGTGTAGGGGGCTGTTTGGGGGGTGGTAGCCCAGACACATGGCTGTCTCTGTCGAAAGTTGCAGCAGAGATTGAAAAGTTAGTGCCTGCCTCCGCTTCGGCCTCGTCCTCGCCCTCGTCCTCTTCCACGGCCTCATTCTTGTCCTGAAACCTGGACCTGGCTTTGATGGTGTTTTATTGCCTTAACACCATTCAATTCGGCTCACTGGGGTCGGCGCTTGGTGGTGGTACCAAGGGGGGTGGCACAAAACTTTGATTGCATTTTTTACTTTGTCGGGTTTCGTTCGACTGGCTGCCTCACTCACTAGCTTGGGTTTTAAGTTAGTTTAAACTCTTCTGGCTGTGAACCTTTTCCGCCTTCACTTTATTTCTTATTCGTGTTCGTCTTGGTGTTCTGTTAACGAGGCCAATTAGGATTGGCAGCGTGTCCGGGACCCCTTGCAGCCAGCTGTTTCTAATAAATTTCCGCTTAAATTGTTGGCCTAACAATCTTCCCTTGTCGTGTGGCAGTTCTTCTACTCTGCCGGTTCCTCCCATACTCTCCCACCCCATCGCAGTTCGAGGTCATCTTGCCTCCGTGGCCTCGTAATTAACAATTGGAAAAGTTGGCCAGTTTCAATTTTTTCCCAGACTCACACACAGGCATATATCAAAATGGTTTTCTTTTAGAATTTTTTCTCAAATACTTTGCATTTCTTATGCTTTTTTCTCTTTCGGTTTGTTGTTGAAAAGTGTAAAAGTCAAACAACAAAAAAGAAGAGGAAAACAATGAAGGCACCACCAAGTGATGAAAAGCTGACAAATCTGTTAATTAGCTTTGTTTGAGTGAACCCCGGGCTGACAGGAGGAAGAGGAGAAGGGGGAGGATTGGGTGCTCCTTGGGTGGGAGTATAACCAAGGCCACCCCCAGTCTTTATCCTTTGTCTGAGCTCCAGTTCAGTCTACCTTCTCCCTTTTTTTGGTTTTTCGGTTTCTCGGTTGCGCCTGGCTGGATCTGCACTTAATCTTTAAGTGGTTGGCTGCCTTTTGCGGTGCATTAGTATCTGAAAACACCTCCCGAAATCCCCTTAGCCTGAGTGAAAAAGATGTGGATAACTTGTGAAAGCGGGAGAGGTAATGAAACTAATCCGAACTCGTGTTACTTTGGTGAATAAAATCCGAGCAAACGAGCAAACTTGATTATTGTCTAGCATTGCTTTACCTCCAGCTACTGATCCTGCTTTTGCTCATGAATTTTCCTCCGAAATAATCCCCCCCAGTGTCTGCATGTTAATGAACTGCTTTCGGGGAGCTCTGATTAAAATACGTGGTCAACTTTTGGACAGCCAATTGAGGACGCGTTTAGTGAGTTGCGCTTAATTCGGTTTAGTAATTTATGGACAAAAGCGCTCCCTTTAACCACTAAACCTCATTTCGACCCCCCTGGCAGTTATCCTAAATCAGTGGCAAACAAAAATGGAAGCGAACAAGAAACAAAAGAAAGCAAAACAACATCAGGCGATGGATGAAGTAAGAAGAAGGAAGGGTGCCGGGCAGATAAAAGTCTTCATTCATTCATGTCGACAAAATTATTTCTTATTTAAATAAAAAGCAAGCACTACCAGGACTGACTGAGGTTGGGGCAGCGGAGATTCGGGAGCTCCGAGATGATGCTACCCACTTAATATACCGCAAAGCCCGCACTTACGCCGTCGCAGAATGAATAGCGGGGTATGTAAACATAAATTTTGCGAGCTCACTCTCGGTGGTGTGGCACCCTCCTGCCCATAAAACCCATAGCCCCCCTCCTGATTCCACTCATTGTGTTATCATCAGCAGAATATTCTATGCATGCACAAATGTTGCCGTTGTCATTGAATCAACCCGGAGTATAGAGTGCCTGCCGGGTCTTCAAAAACTGGGAACACCCAGGGAACCTGGAGTGGGAAAAAGCGGGAGCTGTTACTGGTAGTGGGTTGTTGGTACTGTTGGGTACTGTTGGGTACTGGTAACTGAGAGGCGGAGTCCTGGTCATGGAATGCTTGCTGCCTGCCGTCCGATGAGTGACTTCCCAGCTTCCAAGCTCCGCTCATTCATTGTCTGCCGGGGCATGATGAAGCACCGCTCCGCCAGCCCATATATTTCATGACGGAGAGAGTGCTGGTAGGGAGTCGTTCCCCCGATGCTCCTCCGTATGATTAGCGTTTCTGAATTGGCCAGAACGTTGTGCAAAGGGGCTAACAGGGATTACATGGAGCTTTTTGCAACTATTTGGAACCCTATTAGCTCGGAAATTATGCTGTTGTTTCACCCTAAAATTGTAAGCGTTTCTGTGTGAATATACTTTTGAAAGTGAATTTTAATTTCCTTTATGGAAGCTACTATTTTAAGGAGATTTTCTACATTTTCTTTCTTATACATATTTTATGATTTTGGGTCTCCGCTTTAACTTTAAGCAATTTTGTTCTTTGTTATGTTTGACCTTTAAAAGTTGTTTCTTTTATATAAAAATATTTCTGTTGCTTTTTCCTTTCCTAATTAGTTAACATAATATCTTGAAGTTTGCTTGTTTATGAAACATTTTTGAGGTATCCGCTGGACGGTAACCCTCGTTTAATTCCCTTTGTGCCTAAGGTGATGGACATTAAGTCCAATTAGAAAATTCAATTTCAATTTGGATTTATTCTGGCGTCGTTTGGGGGACACTAATCCAATTATTCAGTCATCCATTTCATTGTCGCCCAGTATAATTATGGCCAACAGCTATTGGCCAATATTAGCAAGGGTGTGTGTTTGTGTATGTGTGTGTGTGTGAGCTTTGAACCATTTCCTTTTACGTCATTTTGACCACGCTATTTCTAAATTTGAAAGAGCCTAATCATCTTTTATGCTTCGCTGGGTGGGACACATACACTGAAGGTCCCAAAAAGAAAATCACCCTCACCTATTGAAAGTCGACATTTCTAATGACGGGCAGACCCAAGTTTGCACCACCATACACCCATCCACCCACTATACCATCCATTGCTTGACCCTGGAAAACCACGCAAAGAGAAAAGGAAAAGGAGACCAAACAGGGCGAGGAGTTTCCCACAAAAAAAAGAAGAAAAACAAGGAAAAAATTGGACGCAGCCGTTACATGTCTCGCATCTACACACGCATACATAGAAATGAGGCTCATTTAAATAAAAGAAAATATTTTTTGTCCTGCCGCTCTTTGTCCTTTGAAGACATTCGAGTCTGTTTAAGGGGGGAACTTGCGGCCAGCGCCGTCTTTTATTTCGTTTTGTTTTTTAGTGGCGGATATTTGAATATAAATGGCGCATTTAGTTAGACTCTATCAAGCTCATTCCCATATATCTTTGGCAGCTTTCGAGTCGGCCTCATCCGCCTAATTCCCCTCGACCCTTCAAAGATTCACTTCCAATTCGGGTCCGAGTTGGCCTTTTATCATTCGATAGTTGCGAGTTTTTTTTTTGGAGGAGAACAACTTGAAAGACCAGGAGTCTGGCCGCCCGTGTCCTTGTGCCTTTGGACCCATTCCTCATCTGGCTTTAAAACATTCCATTTTATGTTGTAGTTTTGACAGAATGAGCAATAATCATGAATTTTGTCTTAGACCATAAAATAAAAACTCCACTCCACTCAGGACCCTTCCTCTCAAGACTACCCCGAACACATTAAATAAATGTTTCGACCTCCTTTCCTTGTGTCCTTCTACTGCTGCTCCCTTTTTTTTTGGTTTATTTTTGATAGGGTGACAGCTTTAAAAAGGAAAAGCCTTGCTCTGTTTTATTTTTGGCGGACATCGTTTTTTGGTCATTTTATTTAGTGACCTCTTTGGCCAGTCTCCGCCTCTTCGATCCTTTTGTTTGTCGGTCAAGATTAGGAGGCATTTGTGGTCACGTTATTGCCCACTGATTAGGACGGGGACAAAGGCAAGTTAACTGCCTCACACGTAGCCTTTTCCCCAACCCATTTACCCAGGTCCTAACGAGCTTTTCACTTCATTTTAGTTGCCTGCCCCCAGGGGGAAAACTTGAGGCCCGGCCCATGGGCGGCTTTCTGCAATTCAATTTTGAGGCCAGGTGACAGCATACTTATGCAACGTTTGGTTTCTTTGTTTTTTGAAAAAGCCCTGCCTTGCCTTCTCTTCCCAACCGCTTTACCGCCAATTGAGCCCAGCCTCGCGGCAGGAAAGTCCATTACAAAATTACAAGCTCCTCGAGTTGAGTGTGTGGCAATAAATACGGAATTAGAGAACATTTGCTACGGAATACCTTTGTGTTGTTACGTTGTTATGTTGTTTGCCCTTCCGAACAAGCGGATGGATCCTACCCGGAAAACGAGATGGAAACCCAAATAAAACCCACTCGCAACTGCAGGCAGGCAGGAAAACACTTTGCGCCTCTTTCGGCTCAATGCACAACACTCACTAAAATTTAATAAATAAAAAATGATATTTATATTGCTTTATAGCCTTGTTTTTCCCACTGTTCCCACAGCACCTACGTTGTTCTCTTGTCCCTTGTCTGTGTGCGCTTTGTGGTTTTTGTTTGGGCGAAGCATTTTGATGAAATATTTTTTACACATTCATTTCAAGTACATAAATTCCCATATTTATATATGAATATGTGCCTGCTGCATACAGACACTTGCATTTCATATATTTCCCAGCGTTTTTATAAATGAGAAGACAGCGATGGATGTGAGCGACAGGTAACAGACATTGATGGCATCGTGAAAAGGTTGGTTTCTCGGTGGAAATGAAATCCTATACAGAACACTGATATCTTTGAATATTTCAATGCTTGTCATAATTTTGTATGCTCTTCCCTGCCAAATTAATAGAATTTAAAAAGAAACGTACAACATGTCGTATAAGTAATATAATACTGGTTTACTTTTAAATTTATTTTAGCAACTTGAAGCTAATTGGAATGCTTTCAAATGGTTCTATCAATTTTATTGTTACAACTTTTTAGGACAGTTAAAATTTTCCCTTGGATTTCTAATTTTTTCTCCTTGATATATAACTCATACGCCCCGTCAAACATTTACCATTAAAGGATGTACCAATATAAAAATATTCAGCAAAATTAAATTAACTATGACACATCTAATCTATTGAAAAGTCCTCACGTTCACATCCCCAATGAGATATTTTTTTTTTGCACACATCGCTCATACGCCATGGTGACGCATTATTTGTTTGGTTTCGCTACTCTCCCAGTGGCCTTGCCTTCTGGCCAGGGCCGACGAAAATCGTAAAGGCAGAAAAATGCGAAAAATATAGAATATATATGTATCCCCATAGCTTTCCCCAAACGTAAATCAAACATTTTTGGTTAGGCATTAGACATTTAAAGAAGCAAGGGCGAAAATTTACAGCGCTTGTTGAGTCGATCCATTCGCAGAGGTTAATCGGGTTAATCCAGTCGGGCGTCGGGTTAGGTTCCATCACTGGAGCTGGCACCGGATCGAATTCAATCGGATCGGATAACTTACCGCACTTGATGCTCGGCTCGCGCTTAATGGACGCTTTGCGCAGGGTCTTGGTCGTGAACTCGGGCTTGGGCTCTTCTTTTGGCTCCTTGAGAAGCTCATCGATCTTGGGTACCTTCTTGAGCACAGGCCGGATTTTGGCCAGGTCATCGGTGCTCTTGCTGGGCAGAGGCTTCTCCTCGCGCTTGACATGCCGCAGTTTGGGTTTCTCCAATTTGAAGCGTCGCCGTTTGTCGCGCTCCTCCTCCGTTTCACCCTCCTCGGCGTCGTCGTCGTCCTCGGTGGCCATCTTTTTCAAGGATTTGTCCCGCTTGACCACCACACTGCGTAACTTGGGTTTCTCCATGGTAAAACGTTGGCTCAACTCACTTTCCGTTTCCGGCTTCTTGTTGACGGTGGTGGGGCGCAGTTGGGCCGCCTTCTTCACGTGTTCGGGCACCTTCTCGTCCACGGTGGTGTCCTCTTCTTCCTCGCTCTCCTCTTCCTCGGATTCGCTCTCCTCCTCGCTTTCCTCCTCCTCGGACTCGGTTTCCTCTTCGGTCTCTTCCTCTTCCTCGCTCTCCTCTTCCTCTGAAGAGGATTCGGGTGGTGGTGTCGGCTCCTTTTTCTTTTTGAGTGCTGAGGTGGTGGCCACGGGCTTTTTAGCACCCACAGTGGTCGCCAATTTCTTGACAGGCTCTGGCGCTTTCTTGGTGCTGACAGGTTCCGGAGTCTTCTTGGCTGCCGCCGTGGTTGTAGCCAAAGAAGATTTCTTTACAGGTTCCGTCACCTTTTTGGCTGGCTCGGCTACCTTCTTAGCCGGTTCAGGGGTTGAGGTGGTTTTCTTTGCCGTTGCAGTGGTAGTGGCAGCTGCTTTTGGCTTGGTTGTAGTTGATTTTTCACCATTTTCCTTGGTTGCCGGAGTGGCAGCCGCTGTTGTCGCTGTTTTCTTTGCCCAGGGTGTGGTGCTAGGCTTTGTGGTGCTGGTGGCAGTGGTTCCGCCATCGTCCTTCACCCATGGCGGGCGGAATGTTGTGCGTCCGCCTGGTGCACTGCTTGAATTTGCACTGCTTGTCCCCGAACGGGGCGTCACAAACGGCATTTCGTCGCTACTTGTACTGCTTGCGGTCTTGTGGACTTTTCTCGACTATTTTCTCTGGTGGTTTAATTTTTTTTGTCCGGTGTTATTGCTGTTAAATTCTCCAGGGGCCGATGTCGTCGCCCGTCTATTCGCACACTCTTTTTAAATAATTTGCCGTGAATTCTTTGCTTGTTTTTCCCGTTCCTCTTGGCGTTGCTGCTGATGAAAACACAAAACTTTGCACATTAGCACCGTCGAGGGAAGTTGTCCGAAAAAGTTCTTTCATTCAGATTTTCCGTGTATTTTTTTTCCGTTTATTTTTCTATTTGTTTCGCCTTGATAATTTTTTTTTTTTACGCGTATTTTTCTTCTAATAGATTTTTATGTATTTCTTTTTCTGCGCGAATTTGTTGCTGAGAATTTAATTCGTGGTCCGCTGCCGACGATGAGCAACAGCTGTTTGAGATATTTTCAATCCGATTCAATTCATTTCAATTCGTGTATATTTGGGTATGTTTCATTTTCAATGTTATTTTTAACTGAATGCGCTCATTAGCTTTGCTAGCTGGTTTTGTTGTTGGTGTTTCTACTAAGAGACAGAATGTAGGCCTTTGTGTCATAGTCATGGACAGGGACATCCATGGATACCGATTGGGATATGTAGATACGAGTATATAGGAATATAGAGAGGACACGGAGTGGACGGGCACTGGGAATACGGACAATGCATCAACAAATCCCAACTGAGTGGAATGCTTTTGCAGGCGTTCACAAAAACAGCTACAACTACAGGCAAATGAGTAGGCCGTAGACTATAGCTTTTTCTATTAAGACAAATTACTTAGTAATCAAACAGATTAATCAACATTCTATACTTGAAACTGTCTCAATTTCTAAATAATTTTTATTATATTTTAATTATTCTCTATCTATAAAAATACCAAGAAATCTGTGGTACTGTATCATCAAATTGTAAACGCTTTTCGATTGTTTATTTATAATAAAAGTTTTAATGGATAAATATTTACAAGCGTTTCAATGTATTTCCTTTGCAATGTTGAAAACTTTCGTACAAACATATTGTACCATTTGCTCGGCTATTTGCCATTTTCAAACATTTATTTTCAATGAAAACCAAATTTGATACATTATTAGAAAGAAAGAAAAATATAATATTTTTCTAACATTTTCTTTCGAATTTTTAAAGCTGCAGAGAGTTTAATAATTGAAAACATAAACATAATTTGATTTTGCTTCACAGACGAAGTAAAGAAAAGTTTAATTCAGCCAGTTTCCTCTGTTATTTACTATGTATTTATAATGACCTCATTTCTGGCTAAATGTAAACAACATTTTGCAACTTTTCTTGCTCTAATTGAGGAAAAGCAAAGCCAAAAATGCCTTCTCCAGGCGAGTGCAACTTTCGTTGACCACTACTATTTTGACCGCAATTGTGCTGCGTGAATGTCCAGCTAAACGCCTGGGTATGCGTGTGTGTCCGTCCGTACATATGCACTCCAATAAACACACACAAACAACAACAATAGCAGCAACAACAACCGGAGCGGAATGTACGGGAATAGAGCAACAAAAACAATAACAGAAAACGATTTGCTCTGCCACTGGCTGCGATATGTAAAAGGCGAAAATATTTAATTTTAGGTTCTTTGTGCCGCTGAGAGTGGAAAAAAGTAAAAAGAAAGAAAAAAAAGTCAGAAAAGAATCAGAAAAAAAAGTGAAAGAGACAGGCGGCGAGAGAATCGCCCAAGTGGGAGAGACAAAACGGAACCAAATCGAAAGAATAAAAGGAAACATATCTCTGGCGCTTTCGTCTTTCGCCTTTCCTCTTTTTTTTTGTTCTTTTGCCCAACCATTTTGTTTTGTTTTTATTCAACTGGCTCGTTTCACAAAGTAGACAGCAAAACGTACACAAAACTGGGTGTATGGAAGAGGCGAAAAAAAAGGCCAAAAAGTGGGCGGAAAGGAGGCAGAATGAAATCCGAATTCGTTTCATTCCATTGCCATTCCATGGCCGGTCCAAAATCATCAACCCCCCTCCTTTTCTCTCGTCTCTCATATTCATTTCAATTCCTCCCGTTCGGGGCGATTGCAAATTTTTTGGCCGGAGCGACGAACACTTTCTCGGTCTTTCCTGCATGGGGGCGTTAATTAAACATGACATGCAAATACAAATTATACTTAAAAATACAGGACCACTTCCCTAGGTAAAACTTCACTGAAAAACAGTTTTTGAAATGCAAAAAATTTAGTTTTAAGAAAGGCTTTAAATGAACTACTTAACACCCTCTTACTATGGTATGTTACAGATATTTTATTTATTACTAATTGAGAAGCGCTTAAACCGTTCTATTTGGGAAATATTATTCAGATATAAAATGAATCCCAGAAGTAATATATAGCAATACGATAATTGACTAAATTTTACTCAACATCTTACAACAAAATCTCATATAAAGAAGTTCGACTGTATTCCAAACATTGCAGAGGATCCAAAGAGCGTAAAGCGGAGGCCGAAAGAAAAAAAAATGAAATTTCAATTAAAATTGTTAACGAGACTGGCTAATTTGACTCGAAAGTTGAGAGGAATCGTGTTTGCAATGGCAACTAACAGCTAATGCCCGGACATATTTCAATTTCTAAGATTGCCTGTCAACAAAAGTGTGTTTAAAAATATACAGCCCGTGATATTTTGAGAACAGTCCATTCATAACACTGCTCCAGAGAGATTTATGGGATATATTGGCCAGTGACAAGAGCTGAGCAAAGCGCTTTCGCAAGTTCTGCGCATTTCGCGGCCCAAATGTACACGAATATGTGGCGGTGATATATTTTTGGATATTTCACGGATTTTTCAGATTTTTATTATGTGTATTAATTGGTTTATTCGCTCGTTGCAGTTTGCGTTGCACGTTCGCGTCGTTCTACTATATATATTGAATATATATATTTATATATATATATTTGAACTATATATGTGTGCTGGTTGGGTCAGACACCCGCACACCACCACAACCGCAAACACCAAAAGCACACACACACTGTCACAGAGAATGAATTTTCAGCAGCGAAGGCAGCAGTGCCTATGACGGCGTTTCAAAAACTAAATTCATACATTTTCCAACCGTACGGCTATGCCTGAAAAATTTGAAAATTTTCCCATTCGCTCTCCGAATGAATCTCTCTTGGGAATCCTCTCATTATCTCTTTTTTCTCGTGAGGAGAACCAAGTCAAGTGAAATGAAAATTTTGTTGACCGACAGAGGAATATTTTTAGCATCTTTTTTTTCGGTTTCGGCATTCGGGGTATGGGTGATGTAGCGGATCCGATTGACCTTATGGCAGGTGCAGTTCAATGGAATTATTAATAACCAGCCATGTATATGGCCCACTTCAAGGATACAGCCAGCAGCCGAGTCTGTTATAGCCCCCTAGTTATCCGCTCATTAGGCACCTCTTATCAGACGCCTCACATTCAATGGGGCACAATTACGCAAGTTTCTAAAGCTGCGTGGGCGTCGCAGCTAATTTCAGGAGGGGTAGTGGGTGGTGGGACGTCTTACCCTGTGATAAAAACCACTCGTCTAGAAAGTCCAAACCCATTAGTGCTTCTGTTAGATGTTCTGTTCTGTCCCAATGCGTTACTTCTCTCCGATTCGCTTTCAATATTTACATTGTCTACCAAGTGGTTGCTGCCTCCCTGTTTCACTCAATGGTGGTTGACATTTCGGGGGAGTAGTGCAATCGATCGACAGATAGATCGATCGGCTAGTGCGTGGTTGTATATTTAGTTTATTTGATCACATATCGATTAGACTAGGGCTAGATTAGTTGATAAAGTTGTCAAATGTGCTGATAAACTACTCAGATATGATACAGAAATTATATGATAGCATATTAATTATGGTAATAAAAATTTGATTAAGCTTAATATCAGACTAACTACCTACCGATTAAAAGAGTTTAATATTGTTTATTAATGAGTACGAATTGTTTTTTGTCGGGGTCTGTTAGCTAATTGAATTTCCATATGTCTGGAATCACCATCAATCAAGAGTTTTTTCTGATAAAGGTAACTTTATATCTCCAGTGAATCAATCAAATAACTGCAACAGAGCGAAAACAAATGATTAAAGCGAATGTCACATCCACAAATATTTATTTAACTTGCGTTATCAAAAGCATGTTTTTAAAAAGTTTTTATGAATCCTCGCCTGAAAGCGCACTGCACATTTTTTTGCGTTGTCAGCGCCAGCCGAAAAGTATGCCAAATTAAACAGCAAATACTCCCACGTTCAAGCAACAGTGGACATTTTCGAACCACCAACAAACTCATTGCAATTTTTTGTTAGCTTCCCCTCTAACAGCTTTTCGCAGAAATTAATTATATATTTATTTATTTCATAAAATGTATCGCATATGTTTGGGGACTTAAAAAATCGGCTTAAAGGCGATTGCGCTTTGGTTTGGAATTTCAATATGCGACTTCCCCTGAGGCTTTATTAATTCATCGGTTGCTCCTAAAATGGTTTTTCCGCTTGCATGGATTGAAGCTTATGGCTCCCCATCCACTCCACCAAACACTCCATCGACCCCCATGGCGAGCCAATGTCAAATGGTTGGAAAAACCTTTCGATTTGCGGGGTCGCCGACATTTTCAGCGCCGCGTGTCGACCAAAAACTTCTGCCATCGAAATCGAATTTGACACAAATTAATTGCTATTTGATTTGATAAGTGCGAACGCGGAGCGGGAGTCGATTGTACGGATACAAAGAGCAACTGTGGGGGTTATGTTTAAGTGTTATCATCTAGAAATTGCTTTATTTGTGAAATGTTCGAAGAGACATCTAATGAATACTGAATGAACTCCTTGGCGTTGTGCGGGGAGCCGAGCTCGTTGTGGCTTCTCCTAAACTGCTTTGCGAGGGATGAGTGTCCCAGACCTTTAGCTTAGACCTTGGGCGCAGCTGGTGAGGATTGGGATGGTGTTTGCGGTGCCGCCTTTGGATGGATGTGGGGTTCAACTGGGGTAGAAGTGCTGCTTTCGGTGGCATTGAGGCGGGTAAAGTGCGGCCAGCCGGTGATCTCGGCGAACAGCCTATCCCCAGGACACTCGGTGTCTCGCACTTGTCTATGACCCAGCAACTTGTATGCGGGGTCAATGTAACCCTTGAAAACACCGAAGGCGATAAGGTTCTTGGTCGCATCCAGCATCTGTTTGGGTGGCAGTTCAGCTGAAAATAAAAGAAAAAGTTAAAAATCATTAGTAAAGAGTTTTCTAAAAGCAGAATTCAATGTGCTTACTTCTCCAATCACCGATCAGCACAATTCCCACGCTCTTGTCATTGTACTTTGGAGCATGAGCTCCGATAACATTGAATCCCCTTCCTGTGTAGATCATCCCATCGCCGCCGATTCCGAAACTATAGCCAATATCGTTCCAGCCTCGCTCCAATTGATGAAAATCCTGCATATCGCGCATGCTCTTCATGCAGTCATGTGTTGTATAGCACACCGCTGGCATATAGGAGTGGTGGATGATCACGTATGGGGCAGGACCCTCGAAGCGTTCCACTGACTTAGGAAAGCGTGCGCCCCAGTCTGAGCGGGATATAAGTCGAGCAGTGGCCATACCATCGCCCAGATCTGACTGCATGTGATGGCCATAGCCTGAAATTATAGATATAGGAATCTTAGATTAGTGAGGTTTTCCTTTTCTTAACTTAAATTAATATTTATAGTCCCAATCATTTCACTTATATTTCACAAAAAGGCCATTAAGTCTATCAAGTCAATTAACTTGAGTTTCTAGGAGTGGCAAAGGTACATCCCACATGGAAAATTTGGTTTTTAAATTTCTCTTTGAATGTGAACTGTTTGTTTACATTTATTTCTGTGAATTTCTTGACGTGGCGTAAACAACTTTAATTTGAACTTTTGCCATGAGCTATATCTGGCACAAAAACTCTAGCACTTCGAAGACAGTCAACATTTGTCGGCCTTAATTGAAAAGGGGGCGTGTGTAATGGGAAGGGGGCGTGTGCGGTTTGCGGTGGTGGTGGTGGTGGTGCTGCTGCCGCTACTACTACCGTACATCGTTCACATTCCATTGATAAATGATAGTCGGATTCCCCACGCGGCGTTGCTGTCTGCGGATTTCTACGGCGGTGGCTGCGGTTCCGACGACCCACGATTTTGCACTGACGCTGGTCGACTCCGCAACTCCCCGATTCGACTGAAAATCCCCGTTACGAGCTAACAAAAACAAGTTGCCGATCGGCTCCGATTGGCAATATAACGATCGTCATCAGTTGGCGCTGAGCGAGAATCAAATATGCTAAACTGCTGATGTGATAGGTGATTTTTAATTGATATCCCATTCAAATATATACTCGTATGTTTGTTTAATATTTTAGGGTAAAAAACGAGGGTTATTGATTGGCAGTAGCCTTTGATATTTCAGTGATTATAGCGGATTTCCTTTGGCCACAATTAGCCAACAATCGACGAGTGTATTTTTATTTTTCAAAAATAAATATTTGCTCACAACTTCGTCGTACCAAATATTGTGTATTCTTTTTATATTTTGCGCAATATTTTGCAATGGTAGTGAAAGTAAATATTTGCATTGGCCTGCTGGAAACTGTTCGCTATATTTGTGTGGAAAAAAAACAAATGATTATCTTCAGATACAGATGTATCTATTTCATAGCAGGGCATTCTCGATTCGTGTTGGTTCAGCTATATCACCATGACTCAGCTTAAAGCGCTCAATGCGAAATGTTTAAAAGCCAAATGGCAGAGGAAGCCGACCCGCAACAGGTGTTACGGGTCGGGTAACATCTATCAATGGCGTGAGCGTTTTGGCCGTTGACACTGCGGGCCGGAGAAAAGGCTGAAGCTCAGTTCCGTTTGGCCCTGGTTCCCCTTGGTGAGTCATAAATGCAAATTCAGACTCCAATCCGAAAACTATTTCATTCAAATTTTGCTTTATGTATGCTGCCGGAGTTGGCAAACATGAAAGTCAAAATGGGTAGGAAGTTTACGGGGGTTTTACGGGGTTTGCACTCATCGCCTTGGCATGTTTGCCGGCGTCTGCCAAAACTTCAAGCCACACCCACTGCGGGCAACACGCCCCCAGCATTTATATGCATACGGAAAACTTGGCGTGGGGTGGTTAGTGGGCCGATGGAAAAGCCGGAAAAACGGGCGACGGAAACAGGAGACGCAGCACTTGACTAAGTTAATAGCGGCAGTTTCTAATTAAAATTTACGGAGAGCGAAAGTTGCGTAATCACAGTCCGGGTAAGCATAATAACACTGTTGGTTTAAAAATATGGCAATGCAAAAATTACATTTTTATGATTTTGTGCATTATTTTTAGTAAATGTTTTTATATTTTAGTTGTTTCAAATTTTGATTATTAATGAACACACTGAATGAGATGGACTATACTTGGCATCCGCAACAAAATTAATCGGATTATGAAAAACAGCGTTAGAATCTTTTTATAAAAAGGAAATTATTCTTTTTTGTTTGGTTTTTGTACTAATAAATATGCTCTTATGTACTTAAAGAGCTTTTAACACCATTTTTTTTTTGAGAAAATGAAAGGTTTAAACTATTTTAAGTAAGAACTTTCGTGTCAACTATGATTATCTAAAAACCTATTAGAAGAGTATAGACTGCTGTTAATTTCTCCAAACTTGTTTTTGAGTATCGCGCCCCCAGTTTGGCACCTATTCTGAAGCCTGGATCCTGGATCCTGGACTTCATCAGCGGCACGTGCTTGAATAATAAACAGAGCAGGAACAGGAGCAGGAGGAGGAGCTGTATTGGCATGTGGGTTGTGAGGGGACTTTCAAATCGTTGACTGTTTAATTTATGCCGCTTAGTTTTTAGTGTGTGTGTGTGAAACATGTTAATTACATTTATATTTACAACCGAGCACGAAGAGCTCAAAATCACCCCGCTACCCTAATTGTTACCCTAATTACGCGGCCTAATAAAGTAAACATTAAAACCCGTCGGCCTAATCAATGTTGCAAACTTTGTGGCGCTAGTTTCACGCCCATACCACACACAGGCCTTAAAATTCACACCCATCAAATGGGAAACTATCGCCTCACCTGAGCCTTTGCCTGCACTCCGCAAATTTCGCTACAAAAAGTAATTTCACAGGCAGAGGCGCAAAGTTCTTTGATAATTTTCGATTAATCCCAGGGACGGTTTATCGGGCTCGTTGCTCTGCTGCTGATTAAATTCTCGCATAATTGAAGTATTTAAATTACCAGCGAATAATTAGAGTGGCAGAAATACTCACACACACACTAACAGTGCTGTGTGGAGTGGTCCCTTAGGTAATTGTTTGTTTTTAATCAGGCAAAGCACATAATAGAGACATTTCAATATTATTATGTTGACGATGCCGAAGAGCCCGTCAGTCTGCCATTAAACAAATATCCGTGCAGCCGTACATACATTGTTTCAGGGGAATGTGCGAAATTAAGTCACGCTCGATTACAACAAAAATTAAAAAGCAACAGGCAAAAAACGGCCAATACCCGTACAACGGGAAAACAAAAAAGTACCCGGAGCAAACAAACAGAAAAAAGAACACAATAAAATCTGTAAAAAATAACGAGAAAAAATAATAAAACCAGAAAAGAAAGCGAAGGTTCTACATAAAAAAAACCGAAGACTTAATCCCCTTTAATAAATTCATTTAAATTTAAATTCTGTTATCTACATCCGGAAACTGAAACTATAATATAATTGGGTTCTACACCTGATAATCTGGAAACATTTTTGACCTTTCGGCATTGCTTTTAACCTTAACTAAATGTTTTGATTTGGAAATTAGAAGATTTGAAAGGAAATATTCAACGATCTTTTGGATTTATGAATGTGCATGTTTGAACTCATCTTGTTTTTATAATTTTTTCTATTCCAAAAAAGTTTATTATTATATTATTCTATTCCACAAAAAACACATTGACGTATTCGCATTAACCTTCAAAAAATTAACACATTACGTGCTTATATTTTATTTATGGACATGAACGCTTCGAATATTTGAAATTTCTATAAATTTTAATATAAGAAAAAAGTTAATTGAAATGATTATTCTGCTAAGTTTGCCCTGGCAAACTCAAATGATATTAAGTTTCATTAATATAATTTTATAAGAGAGCGTCTTGAAGCCAGAGAACTTGATAAGCGACTCTCAGTATCGGTTAGGGTGCGAATATAATTATGAATATTAAAATCAAAAACCATTTTAATCGCCCGCTGACTGTCAGGCCGTAAATGACAATTTTGTTAAATGTCAGTAATTAATTGAAACAAAAAATCACATATCTGACAGCGTGCAAATTGTGCATACATTATATACGCTGCATTTCGTTACTGCGAGGTTATCACTGCTCAGGCTGACGTTGATTACAGGTGATGGGCGCTCAGGAATTTAACAAAAACAAAAAAATGCGATAAGACCGGTGGTACTATCTCCCCAATTTATATTCTCAGGGGCAAGTTGATAAGAAAAAGACTCTCAACACCCGGCACTTACCCATCATCGATAGCAGAACTAATCCCAAAGCTGTCATGTTGCTCTTTGCTTGTTGTTTGTTTTATTCTGCTGATGTTGCTGTTGCTGTTGCAATTGTTTGCTAGCCTTCTGCTACTTAGGAACTTGTGTGTGCGCTCGTACAAAATGTGACTTTGATTTAGGAACTTTTGTGTCGATTGTTGCTCGCTTTCAGTTGATTGTTGGTTGGTTGGTTGGTTGTTTGTTTGGTTGTTGGCTTGTTTGTTTGTTTGTTGCTTTGTATGTTGATTTATTGACTGGCTGGCATCTACCGGTTGCCGTGGCAAGAGTTGTGCAAAATTTCGACTGTTTGTGAAGGTCAGACTTTGGTTTGGCAGCGCTAATATAGCGGCCTTATGCTTCGTATCACAACCGCGAATGTTGGCCAGCATAAGGGCGGTCCCGAGTTTATAGAAAAATTCACACACCGAATTCGCACCGCCACTGCTAGCGTCGCTGCTGGCGCTGACGCTGCTCTGTTGTTGGTGTTGCTTCTGCTGCTGCCGTAGAAGCAATGCCAAACAAATGGTTAATCGCATGGAACTTATGGCGCCGATCGCTCTCGCCGCTCGCTCTTTGGTTTTGATTTTGCGACCGCGCTACCGCTCTCGGAGTGAGCTTTCCGCTGCCTCGGTTACCGCCGCTGCTTCAGCTACCGCCGCTGCCGCTGTCGCAGTCGCAGTCAACGTAGTAGCTGAATTTGATAAAGTTGTTATCAGCCACAAAGTTCCGCTAAGGTCAAGCTGTGGTCTTTAGGGAAATTTAATACAGCGATCGAGTCTAGTGATATATATATGTCTATACCCGGTGAATTACCCACGGCTTAGCGAATTCATTGGCCCCATTTAAGCGCATTTCACCTCTTCCGATCGGCGGTACTTTTTCCCATCCGAAGGGTTCTTTTTTGAAGCACCACTGTTACGAGGGCCACCACACGTGTCAGCGTGAATCAACATTCCGCCTTATAGATATGATTGCATTGAGAGAAAAGTGGTATATCAACCAAACCTAATACTATTCTAAAGTAGCTGAAGTCAGTAAACTTACTGGCATTTTGTAATTGATTAGAAAAATAATGAATAAAAACGTTTTTAAGTTTCTCACTCATAATCATATTATTATTACTCATATGTAAATATATTTTATACTCCCCACTTTTCTCTGCGTGCACGTAATGAATATACTTTAGCCTATCACTATGATATGCAATTAGGGTTAATCATCGAAAACGTTGCCTAGGCTATAGGGCAAAATTCACGCCTCGCAATCACAACTTCCGACAGGGGCGAGTGATTAACAATTATAACTGCTTTGGTTTATGACTTTTTAAAGACCGCGATGCGGATCGCTGATCATTGGTGATTGTTGATAGGGGGAGGCACTTCATATAAGTATATTTAAGTAGTTCAATATCGGTCAATCTTGAAGGTTGCCGCTGATAAGGGCTCTCTATCGTGCCCATAAATCAGCCAAGGGGAACTTTGTTGACAATCTACCCGAAAATTAGTTGTACAAACAATTTTCACTGTTTAAGTTCGCAATCATCCAGCTGTGGTCTGATTTTTGCCCTCAACAATGGCAAAGGTTAAGTTTTATATCTCTGTGGTGATTAATTATTGTCACTGACACTTGTCTTTGCTTTAGCGGGAAAGAAAAAATCACTCTTAACCTATGACTCATCCATTGTTTTAAACATCTTGTTTAAAAAATGCTAATATTCCATTTTTAAAGACATAGCTGGGGTTTTACTTCTCCTTGTATTTTGGTTTGATAAATGAATGAGGCATTCCCATAGCTTGAGGTGACAATGTGTTGTCAAATATTTTTGTTTAGATTGGCAATTTCGTAGAGTCATCGAAGAATTTAAGATATATTTATTCACAAAATTAAGTTGTATCAAAGATTGACAGCTCGCTGTTAAGCTTTTCCTTTTGATAACTATTTGTTTATGAAACTGTTAAATGTTAATAGAAAATATGTAAAAAATTTTAGTTTGTATCTCTCTTATTTCTTTATTATTTTCATTGAAAGAACGCGATTCGTCTTTGCTGGTCAACACTTTTGATGTTTCCACATTTTCTTTAAATATTTGTAAATTTTGGAACATTTTATTTGGCATGGCATCTAAGGTTCACATCAAGTAAACTGTTTTTAAGGTTAGGAAAAGCTGTTTTTTTAAAAGTAATTAGTTTTAAATAAGTTCCTCTAAAATAATTAAAACAAATTGCCTGGATTCTGAATTCAATTTTTGCAATTGAATAAATTCCGTGTCGTGTTACTTTTTTTTCTTTTTACTTTATACAGCTATAAATTGCGAGCTTTTATAGCTTATTAAAGCCTTATCTTATAATCAAGTGTGATCTTTTTAAATATTTGTATTCTTTAGATATAAGCTCAGTTTTTCCGGTTTCTATACTGAAAACCGTGACTTTCTCACAGTGACTGCTGTGCCAGCATCTCTGGGCCTCGTCGTTCTCTGTGTCATTTGCTTTCTTTGACCACCGCCACCGGACATACTCTTTTTTAATTTGTATTCGTGTGATTTAATTTTTTATTTTTATTTTTTTTGGACCGGGGATGCCCCTTTGGTGGGATCGATTTGGTTTTGGGGGAAGCCCGCTGCAAATGCGGCGGCGAGTATTAAATTACTTTAGTCGGAGTGCCGAGATCGGATGGATAGACAAATTAACAGCGTTTTATTTTCCGTCGTCGATTTATGGCGAACAACAAGCGCACATTCCATCTTCATTTTGATCTTAATCTGATTTTGTTTTAGTTTTTGTTATTGTAATTTGCGAGAGAGTGTGTGCACACACAGGTTTTTCAGGTCGAAAATTTAGGGGAAGCACCGCCAGATGCGTTCTGGCGCCTCGTTCAAAGGAAGTCCAAATCACCGGACTCATTTTCTCTACGTTTGCTGCTGCTGCTGCTGTGGCTGCTGCTTTATTTTATTTGCTGTTTATACTTGCGGCAAGGTAAACACGCGGACCACACCTTCGACCCCCCTCGAACCCAATATTTATTACACTTCAAAAAGGGGAAATTTCTCAAACGCTCTTGGAAATTGTTGAATTGTTTTTGGCAACAAAATAGTTGCGGCGGTACTTACCACAACTTGTGGCCAGCTGTTGTTGCTCGAACAATTCCGAATCCGTGAGGATTGGCGGGGGATTTGTGAGGGAAATGGAAACGGTTCCAGACGCCTTGTCGCCCATGTTGCGTGCCAATGTCTTTGACGCTAACTGAAATGAAGTCCGTAGCCATCGAGCAGAGAACTTAACTATATCGTTCCGCTGCCAACAGGTGCCTTTGATTAGGTCTTGTAATCTCGAGTTGCTCTTCCTTTTTTTAGTGCGCCTGCCTCGGGTTGGTGCGCCCCTTATAACTTTTAATGGACACATAATCCACTTGGGTCGAATAAAAGAATTTGTACTTCGGCTTTATATCTTTTTGAATGAATAACATTTCCTTAACCCCACTGTGGGGGTAATAAACGTAATGTTTATGATACACACCTGGATACAAGACTAATAATTAAAGATATTTTTACGACTACAGGTGTGCGATGGAGATAAACACTTGGAAAAACATGTTTATGATTTTCTTTTCGTAATAAAACAGTTTGTTTTATAAAACAAATGTACAATTTAAATTCAGAATTTGATATGTGATAAAAATCAGGTAAAGGGACTTATAACTTTTGTAGTTCCCCTAATATTTCTAAAGTTATATCCCCACGTTAGAGCATTACTAGTTCGACTTTCAATACACAATAATGCTGACCATTGTGTTCATAATTTACCATTCGACTGGCTACCCGATAATCGCACATCTTATCAAGGTATTAAGTGCCGCTCACTAACTACGCCTTGGCACGCTCTCCCGATGAAAAATGCCACGAGAGGGGGCAAAAATCACACGCAAAATCACAGGCCTTCTTTAGAGACACCTCCGCCCCTGGGCCGGGGTATTCACCAAGGTAAACATTATCGGGCCAGAAGCTTTACACTTTGGCACATTAGACAAATAAACGGGGTGTCTCTGCGGCTGTGTGTATATTACAATTAACAAAAGTAATTGCAATCGCTTGGGATTCCCCGAGGCCTCAATGAAAACTCTTTGATGGGTAAGCCATGCAAGAGTCTATCTACACGGCAAGTAAAAGACTGTAATTTCAGTATCAGTATCAGTTGGATACTGGCCAATATCGGTTCTCAATATTTCATTTTCACTATCGAAATAATCTCAATCGTTATAAATTGGTCCCAAGCCAAATGAATATCAGGCAATAATGTGAAGTAGTAATTTATTGATAATAAATTTAAGGGCCCGGTTTTTCAGCGTCTGATGAAAGACTGATAGTGGGGGGGTTTTTTAATTTAAAGTTTTATTTTTTAATCAGACATAACTGACCTTATATAATGTTGGTATTCTTAAATGAACCATATGGAGTACTTCAATTGATATCATTTATTCATTTATTGCTCAAAATATTTTATTTTTGGTGTAGAAATATGGCTTTTCGTCTTTAATTAAACATCAAATGTTTAAACATTAATGTATTTAGCTTGAAGTTAATAATTAAAATCAAACAAAGCATTTGAAGAGGAAGCTTGGGTCACTGGAACTAATTGTACTTCAGCTGTGAATTATTAAAAACATTTTGTGTTCCATAGAAAATGAAAACTCAAATCAAGAAGGTTAAGATCTTTTCATTAAACTGATAAAAAATCAATTGAATTTTGTATTTTTCTGTGTGCACATTCATTTAGATATTTGCCAGCGCCACCAATTGAAATCTTTGGCAGGGCAAACAAAATTCATCAGATGTCGCCATATCATTGTCTGTACTGATTAGTTACGCCTTGCTGGTTGCCAGGCAAATTTCCACAGAAATCGGAGGGGAATTCCCTCCAATGGAAGGGGGCAGTAGAAGGATGAGGGGCTGGAGGGTTACTGGTATCCTTGTAGCGGCACGCACATGCCATATATTAGGACGCATAAAATGACAAACGACTCGCGAGGCGCGTAAATTGAAAACTCGCTGAGCCTGTGCGAGATTGCCTGTGGAAATGGATGGAGGCACTGCGTCTGGGGAAGGGGAAAATGGGAATGGCGGGGAATATGGATTTCGGTGACTTTTTGGCTGTTTGTTATTGCTGCCTGAGCTGCCTCACTCTCTTGCTCTTCCTTTCTGGCTGGCTGTCGGCCAAAACTTTGCCAAAGTATTCAAATTAAAATTTCAATTAAGGAAGTGAATTTGTGTGTGCCGAAAGTGTATTAAGTCTATATAGAGCGGTGGCATCTTGGCATTTCACTGCTTCTGTATTCCACGTGTGCCTCGCCTACCACGCCCCCTCATTCGCCCACTTAGTTATCCCGCAAAAGAAGGCTAAAACCGAACAGAACTGAACCAACCTGAACTGAACAGAACAGATCCCACCCAGCTGTGTGAAGCATCCCGCCTACAAACCGAGCCTGGTCGTCGTCGTCGCCTGTTGTTTGATTTATTGCCAAAGTTTGTCGTCTGTCATATGACATAAGGAGTACTTTGTTGGAATATTTTACATTTTACGCGCCCCCCACACTCTGTACAGTCCCCACACACCTTACACTCGCTGACATTTTCCATTGAATTTGGAATGAGAACGCTGAAGAGGCTTTGATCGGGCCTCTGTGGGCATTATTAATAATGCAATCAATTTGTAAACAATTTGGCATATATCAATGCGCTTCGTGCTGCCCATAAATCTTTGGGAAATTAGCTCAGAGAGCCTACCGCCCCCCTGCCACGAACTTTTGCACTTAAAAATATTAAAAGTTAGTGTTTCGCATAAACAAAGTGGAATGGTTTCGTGGCTAAGACGTTCGGAAAGTGGCTATAAATTAATGGAATTTTTCAGTATTCATAGCTTAGGTATTTATGTTAAGTATATCTTCAAAGTGCTTAGCTACAAATCATAAATACTCTATATCTCTAGCTTATGATTTCAATGTTTATATAAGTTTAGTGGGATTTTTGAAAGCTCAGCATTATTAAATTATCCTTTGACAGCCATTTATTGTGGTTGGTTAAATTCAAATTGAGATCAATGTGGGCAAAGTGTCAGCCAGTTTAAAAATTGGTATTTCTCTCGCTATATATATTTCGAGGAACCGCATCCATATATTCCATTGGGATTCACTCCAGTATATTTTTTTGCAAGTGTGGTCATTTGCATGCCAGCCCCCCTGACAGATTGCTGGGCTGCCCTCTTGATGGATTGGCGGCTGGTTCTGGCCTGGAAATGTTTTGGGAGCAGGGTCATGGCAGCAGTGACTGCTAGTTTTGGAGTGTGGACAGGGGGCGGTTCCAACAGATTTTGCCATATTTCTGCGTTTTGGCTGCTCCAGTGGCTGCCATCGCTGGTGCTGCTGCTGCTGCTGCTTTGGCAGTTAGTGACAGCTGCGGTGATGGCTGCAGTTTGGGGGGAAAAAAAAACCCGAAATTGGAGAGCCGGGGAAACCATAACGCTTGTCCGGTTGGCAGCCATGCATTTCCAAGCATCGGGATGAGAACTGGGCCCGGGCCTTTGACTAGCCAAAGAATGGAATTCGTTTGGATGCTGTTTGCCCAAATTTCTGGACAGACATCCAGTACCCATTGGACAGAGTAGGCGACACACATAAAAGACAGTCAACAGAAAAAAAAAACAGAGATATGGCACTCGTACAGTAAACTTTCAGCTTTCAAAACCCCTGTATCTCCGGCTTGGCATATATCTGCTTTAGAGAGGTAAGTTCAGAGTTGGACCTCCTCAAGCTAATTGAATGAAGTTGCCCCACGAATTGTGTGTGTCCAGCTGAGATTCTTTCCTTGCGGAAGAGAAATTGCAAATGGATGTTCCCAATTCCCCTCATCCTTTGTTCCATTCTCCTTGGCTTGCCTTGGCCCCAATTTAAAAGTTTATGAACTTGTCAGCCAACTGGCGCCTCCACTCAGACTCTCACCCAGCTCTTTCCCTTTTTCTCTTTTTGTATTTTTTTGGCAGGAGGAAGGAGGAGGACCAAGGACCAGCGATGTCGGGGCGCCTCAACCAGCAGCACGCGGCGTATGCGCAACGAATGGAGCAAGAGAATAACCGGGTGCAGGCTACACAGGCCGTGAACAGCTACTACAGCCACTGGGGCAAAGTTACATCGCGCTTCGAGAACTGGACAAACAAGGAGTACTATGAGAAGGCCGAACAGAAGCTCCAATCCCATCGAGATCAGCAGGAAAAGGAATTGGCTCTCAGGGAGCGGCAGGCTAAGCTTCGTGAACTTTTTGCCTCTGAATCCGAGGCCTACGATAATGAAATAGAGCGTCGTCGTCGTCCGCGGGAACCTGGCGGTGGAGACCTCCAAATGCTAGGCCGAGTAAACCAATCCCTCAAGGAGCAGGAACAACTCCGTCGCAAACTAGAGATGGAGGCCAAGCTGTACGGTCGCTGGCGGCATGGAGTCGATGATGAAAAGCTGCTTTACCAATCCAAAACGGACAACGAAGTGCTGGCCAAACTCAACTGGCTGGACCGCCAGATCGAGAATCAGCAGCAGCGCGAGGAGCAGGAGGCGCTGGCCGCCGAAAGGCAGCTTCTATTGCAGCAAGAGATCAGCCGGACTGAGCAGGCTCAAAAGGAGCGCCAACAGATACGGGAGCAGCAGTTAAAGGAATTGCGGGCTCTACAGGAATCCCATATGTCGGAACTTCGTTTGCGCCAGCAAGAATCTGACAAGTTGAAGGAGGAAGAGCAGCACTTCCAGCTCTTCTTGGGTGAACTTGACAAGGAGCGGGAACTTCTGGAGGAGAGCAGTGCCCTGGTGCTAAAACAGGCCGACTCTGGGAACGCCTACAACCTGAAAAAGATCAAGGTGTTCATCCGACAACGCAGCGAAGCCAGTCGCAAGCAAATCTCACTGTGCATCAACATGTTGCAACGCATGTCCAAGTACGTGGTCAAAACGGAGGAGCTGAACAGTCTTCTAGAGAAGTACCGTTCGCACCTGGAGAACGAGGAACTATCCTGTGCCCAGATAGAGTCCATGTACGAGTCGGAAGCCAAGTACAACTTGCAGCGTTGTGAGGAGAACTGGCGGGAACAGCACTTGCAGCGCTACGGAGAGCTGAGCAAGTTCATCGACCAAGAGAAGGATTGCTTGGGCGGTCTGCTCCAAGAGAATGTCAGTCAGCAGCAGGCATTGGTGGAACTAAGAAGCCAACATCTGTCCGCTATTGAGCAGGCGAACAAGCAGTTAGAGCAACTTACTCAGGAGCAGTCTGAAATGAGTGTTCCATCGGTTACTAATCTCAAGGAAGTGGAATCCCAAGCTTCCGTTTCAGAGCAGTCGTTTGAAGAGAACCCTATGCCCAAAGTGAGTGACTCCTTCTCTAACCTTAACTTAGACGTGTGGAAGAATCTGCCCCCGGCTCGTGGAGAAGTGGACTTGCAGCGCCTTAACAAATCTCGTTCCCTGAATGTGGTTACCTCACAGACAGCCGCTCCACCGAAGTTCGCACGCAAGCGTGTGGCTTGGACTTAACATTTCAATCGTTTCAGCTTAAATTTCAATGGTATTATTAGACATATTGCTAGTTTAATCTCTGTTTAGCCATAGTTTATCTTTTTGTGTAACTCCCACACACTCAACATACACTCAACACACATCCCATTCCACTTCGAAACACTCCAACCCAATGAATACCACCACTTAACTCAAACGAACACCACTCTGTGCACTTGTAGTTGATAAGGCTGATAGATAGGCGCTTCCCCCCGAGGAGGGGCAATAAATCACTCAATTTGTGGGCCAGCAAAATCTAAAGGCTTTAATTATTGTCAAGTACAAGGCGTGGTCGGGTCAGGAGCGGATCTTCTACCTAGCGGCTGGATATAATATATACCTTAACGACTGTTATGCTTACAGAAATAATAAATCTAGCTGGTAAGTACAAATATTGTGGTCTAAAAAGAATGGGCTTTGGATACCATAAGTCAAAGTTATGGCCAGCTTAATGGAATACATCTATATGGAGTACATGTGATGAGTTTGTCAAGCCAAAGGTGTTTGGTTTTGAAATTGTTCAATTAGGGCAGACACAATTCCCAGGCACCAGATGCGATTAGCATTCAATCGAAATTAATATTTGTAGACTTTGGCAAATCTCTGGACAATTCCCATTGGTGGGGCTCTCGAGCTGCTAGGGACCAATAACGTTACATATACACACTAGCAGGCATTATTTAATGCATGTTATTCATCATCTATTTGAATAGATGGACGCCGCCCTCCCCCGTTTCATCACGCCACTCTCCACCCAATTCCCCATGCCATCAGCCGTAAGCTGCTCCTAATGGCCAAAATGCTCGCAAATGATGATGAATACGTTTCAATTACTCCACTCGAACTCTCCATCATCGAAATCAGAAGCAGAATCAAAACCGGGAGCAGGAATAATATTTTGTGGGCAAAAGCCGGTGGTACGATATCATTTGAGTGCTACCTGAGCAGCAGGTTTTCAAGGTAAGAGCGTTGCCTGTTAGCTGTTAGCTGCCGTCCATTCAGTGAGCATTCATGAAATATTGGGAAATTATTATCTGCAATTACTTTGGGCCAGAGTCGAGCCATTGAAAAACATTGCAGTCGATTTAGTGTTAATAAAAGCAAGGCATAACGAGATATGCATGCGCTCGATAAACCCACGTGCATAAAGAGGTATGCATGTGCATATTCATATATATATATATGTATATATATTTATGTAGCAAAATATAGGAAAATATGCCAAGCGCATCGCAGCGCCTTTGATTAAATTTCTTTGAGTGTTTGGGGCACACAAAATGCAATTTCATTTGCACTAATGGCTGACGTTGCTGCCTCGGCCGACGTCTCTGACGGCCGCACTTCCGCTGCCAGCAACAATGCAGCGGCGCAGCAGAGGAAAAACTGGGCGAAAACTGGGGAAAACTGCAAAGGAGAACGCAAAAAACAACAAAAAGCGAACGCAAAAAAAAAAAAAGATTGTTAAATTGAATTAAAACCAACAGCGCAGCGGGCGATGGGTAGGTAGGGTGGTAGGTAGGTTTTGGCTGCCAGCGGCGGCCAAGCGGAAGGTATATCATGATGCGAAGAATTGCATGCCGCTCCAAAGAGCCTTCGCCTTCGACCCCATCTTCTGGCATCCGTCTTTAATGGTGTTACTGCTACGGTGGCCATTACCAACTCTTTGGGCCATCTGCACAGGGTTTGTTCAAGCAATAAACGGAATTTGAAGGCTTGTTCTGCAGCACCAACTAGCCACCCACCCATCAAGCAGCCCACAAAAGATTACAATGTTTTTCGAGCGAAGAAAGGAAACGGCCAAGTGGAACTATTATTTTTAGGAGAACCCTAAAAAAAGCTTTGTTGTTATAAATTTTAAACAGCTACTTTAAAAGTTATTAAACTTAAAGCTTAAGCTAACGCTAATTATATAGAATTTAATTTGGAAAAAGTACAAGCTGCCACAACGTTTAAATTGTGTAAGCAATACTATTCTTATATAACTCATTTCTGGATCGATAATAAAAACATGTCCCATCGAGATAAATATTTAAAACCCGATAACATAAAATATGTCTTATGCAATTGTAGTCCACACTTAATTCAGGCCAATTAACTTGTATTCAAGCTAATTAAAAAAAAAACGAAATTTAATCGAAATCCTCAATAAAGTACAGAATGCCAGATAGTCCCATTGAAGCTAACAAAAAATGCATTTTATTAAATCTAAAAAAAAGATACTAATTGATGATTAATAATTAAATTCTGAACTTTTTAATAAGTTTCATGTAAATTTAATGCATTTTGCTATTATGCGGCTTATTTCATCCTAACAATTATCATAACATAATAGACACTGCTTGTCCAGCATAAATAAATAAGCCAGAATTCCGACGTTTATTAATTTCATCAGTCGCATTGTCAAACCGTCAGCCATTCATTTGTACTGTCAGTCAGGCTGTCATCTCTACTTTGGTAGATCGCAAATTCGTGCAATCAAGTTATTTGCTTTGGGCTGTCGAGTGTATTTGGACTAGGCAACTAGGTGGCTTTTCAACTGCTATTCCCACCTGAAAATGTGCGTGGAAATTCAAGGGAAATTTCCGCATCAAAGAGTTTGCGTGCGCTGGATTTGTGGCAACGTGTTGCCGTCAACGGATTACGGAATGATTACAACAGGTGCGGATTGACTGGGCAACGTGGCAGCAGCACTACTCACTCCTCACTCACTCACTCACTGACTCACATACCATCTTTCGCTGTTGGGTGGCATAATCTGTCAGCCGACTGTCCCTTAAACAAGATTAACAGAGGATGCGAATACGGATGTGGATGTGGATGAGGATGCTGGGAATGGCAAGGAGCAATTGGGCCGCAAAGAAGCAATAATGCGATGAAGTCGAGGCGTGCTCACGTCTGCCACAGCCGCACAGCCGGAGACACAGGACTCAGAGCCAGAGTCAGAGACATCCACAGACTCAGACGTATGGGGTCTTTTCATCCGGGCGACATTTACGTCAACAATTCAGCAAACAATTGGCAAATGTGGCCATAAAAGCATGACAGTTGTCGCTGCCGTACTCGCTGTCCTTAACACCCAAACGCCCCCTCTTAACCCCCTGCTGCTTTTGCTACTTTGAAATGCACAAAGCGGAAACGGAAGCGGATGCGGAAATACATGTATGTGTGATGTTGCTGTTGGTAGTGTTGCCGTTGCCATTGCCGTTGGTGCTGGTAGTGCTGCTGCAACTTGTTGTAGTTGCTGCCAGTCATTCTGTCTGTGCCTGTCTATTTGTACCACTGTGCGAGTGATGGCTGAGCCAAAAGCCAACATGTCGCCAACAGACTAAGCCCAGCCAGGCCACACATAATGTTGGCTAAGCCTTCAGTCAATTGCATTCAAATAAGCGACCAAAGAGTACTCCCTGTGTGTGTGGTGGAAAAGCCTGTGCGGCCCGGGCTTGGGAAATGGTCGGAAAATGCGCTTTCCTGGCCTCCGTTTACATATGCAGAGCTTTCTGCTTTCAGTTCAGGCAGCTCAGGAACTCAGGAATGTTCAATTTCACCCATGGCCAGCTCGGGCATCGTTTCATGTATCACTTTATGGCCGTGGTTGGGGATTGCGTTTAAAGTTTAAACAACGTTTGTATTATCTGTGCCAGGAGTCGGTTGCCATTGCCGGTTGCCAGTTTCCAGTTGCCATAGCTGGCACTCCTCAATGCCACTCCCGATCCCAACCGCCAACAGTTTGCTTCATTACTCTCCGTCCCAACGTCCCCTTCCCCATCCTTTGCCCAACTCGCAGTTTCACTGTTTTTAAGCATGCAAAAAATGCTGCGTAAATATGCCAACAAAAAATTAAAAAAGAAAAACAACAGCAGCAGCCACAACAATAGCAGCAGCAGCAAAAGCAGCAGCGTTGGTTGTACGTACGAACCGCAGCAGCAAGAACAACATCGACGCTCAAATCGGTGGTGGTTGTTGTTGCTGCTTGCGTGTAACATGCTTGCCATTACACACATCTACATGTGTAATTCAGTTTCAGTTTCATAACTAAAAAACCATAAAACAAAATTGTATACACACCACCCCGCCCAAACTACGACTCCCACAGCTCAGTGAGCCACTGAGTGAGCGATCCCAAAACCAAAGCAATCCCCGCCTCAACAACCCACGCACCCAGCCATAAAACCACCCACTCAGACACACAGCAGAAAACGTTTAGGATGGAGTTATAAATGTTGAAAAGCCAATTTGCAGCTCACTAGTACCAAAATGAGATGCATATGGAAGTTCTAGTTTTGTAGAATTTTTCCTGTTGATCTATAAAACAAATATAAGTTTATAAATCTTTTCAATTTATGTTTTAAACTTTGATTTTCCAATGCATTTATATACCTATTATCACTTATTATAAATGGTTGTCGATAATTATGAAAAATATTATCACAAATCGAATGGATTAAGAATAGTAATATATAGCATAAAACACGGTAATTTTAGAAGTAAATATTTAAAATTTTATTGAATTTTTCAATTTTTCTCTCTGTACTCAAACACCCACAGCAGAACAAACAGTGGATGAAGAGTGGTTTGGCTATGCGGGGATAATCAGAAGCGCCGGCTGTGCGACTACAGTGGAGATTAGCTAAATGAAAAGCCCTCGAAAGGCAGCTCATGCGCGTGCAAAGAGGTCACAAGTTTGTTCTGCGGCCAAACTTCCCCGCAGCCACAAAAGGCCAACGAGAATGCAACACTAACAATGTCAACGTTCAGACTGGGCTATAAGGACTCTCAAATTACCTTCATCGCAGAAATAAAGATCTACTTTAAATTTATATAAATAAATACTCATTTTTCTCAGTGAACTATGAATGAGTTATCCTCTGACAAAGAAGTCATTCGCAGTCGCTTTACTCACACATGATTAGGTATGAAGGGCGATTAAATCATTTGGGAAAACCCCTGGAAACCAAGCGAAATGAAAACGCAACCATCGCTATCTTTATTGAATTGTACTTAAATATTTACCCACAAAAGTATTATCTAACATTTATTTGCTTTCAAAGGTATTTAAATAAATGTACATAGCTATTAAAATGAAGGACCAATAAAATTAACCCCAAAACCTAAAAAACGAATAATCTTTATTGAATTGTACACAACCATTAAACTGGCATTAAGTAATTATCTTGACAATGTATGATGTCACGAATGAACTATGTAAATAAAGTATGTTCGACTATTGTCTATTTACTAATTAAAGAACCATTACT